ATTCCTGAGTCGAGAGCAGCATCTTCAGATTGCTGCGGGTTATTACTACACTCTTTTGTGCTGCTGCTAGTTTTCTGAACGAGATGTGGCAGTATACTCTTTGTTTCTCTGAACAATTTTTTTTGTGTGGATTCTAATAAAGCTCCGTTATGTTCTTCCCCTTTTGCTCCCAATGTTTGATAGGGAAGGAAGGAAATGAGGTGCGCCAGATCGTGCGGCACTTTCCAGCAAGCTTCCTAAGCTTTGTGATTCGGTGGTAGCCATGGAGGACGACCGAAAAGCGCCGAGCTTTCTTGATGTGCCCAAGGATATCCCCATTGCCACCACCAAGCCCCTCACCATCCGGACCAGCGCCGCCGCATCCGGCTCCGACCGCTCCTGCCCCATCTCGCCGGCCATCTCCATCACGCCGCACCTCTACTCGCCGTCGCCACCGTCGTCCGCGTTCGTCTCCGCGCTGCAGTCCCCGTACATCTCGCCTCGGGTTCTCGACCCGCCGCCTCCTCCGGCGGCGGCGGAGCCGGAGCCTCAGCCGCGGCAGGAAACCAAGGCCGCCGGCGCCAGCGTCACCACCACCGCGGCGCCATCGCCGACGTCGTGCTCCAACGGGTCCGATATCGACGCGCCCAGCGCGTCCCGCACGCCGCCGTCCGAGCGCTACGACTCCATCGGCATCGACGCGGCCAAGATTTCCGACGGCGGCGGCTGCGGCGGTGGCGCCCTGCCGCCGCGCGTGTCGTTCTCGTTCCCCGTGCCGCGGGTGTCCTTCACCAGGGGCTCCGTCGCGTCGCCGTCCTCCAACGCCAAGCTCCGGAGCTGCGACGTGTACATTGGCTACCACGGCAACGGCGGCCTCTCCAGGTTCTGCAAGTGGCTCAAGTCGGAGCTCGAGCTGCAGGGCATCGCCTCGTTCGTCGCCGACCGCGCCAAGTACTCGGACTCGCAGAGCCATGAGATTGCCGACCGGATTATTTGCTCGGTCGCGTTCGGCGTCGTGGTGGTCACCATGTCCAGTTTCCTCAATCCGTTCAGCCTCGAGGAGATCAGATTCTTTGCTCAGAAAAAGAACCTGGTGCCGATACTGTTTGACACCGAGCCAGCAGAGATCGCCGGGCTTTTCGATGGTAAATTGGAGGATAAGGAAGGGAAGGAAGCGTTTGAAGGGCTGATGCGATGCCATGAATTCAAGCTTGAGGCGAATGAGAGCAATTCAAGAAGCTGTGTGTCGAGGACAGTTACACTGCTTCGGTCCAAGCTGGGACGGAAGAATATCACCGAGAAGGAGAGCGAAGCTTCTGAGGACCTGCCTTTTCCGCGCAACCGGCATTTTGTGGGAAGGGAGAAGGAGCTGAGCGAAATTGAAGGCATGCTCTTTGGGTCGACCGTGGATATCCAAGAAGTGGATTGCCCCAGGGCTTCCAGTACAAATGAGAGGTCAAGCGGTGTATCTGATGGATTTGCTGATGAGGATAGTGATACTGCGAGGAAATCTAATGCCAGGTACATCAGTTTGGAGATGCGCAAGTGCAAGGAACCCACACTGGAGGCTTGGATTGACCCAGTGATTGAGTTATCATCTGGTAAAAGCAGGAGCCTGCAGAAGCAGAGATCAAGGCACAGGAGGTCAAGGTTTCGGTGCAACAGCAAGGGCTATAGCGGTGCCAACGTAATCTGCATCAATGGTTCTTCAGGCATTGGCAAGACTGAACTGGCATTGGAGTTTGCCTACAGGTACTCACAGAGGTACAAGATGGTACTGTGGATTGGAGGCGAGGCTCGGTATTTGAGGCAGAACTTACTCAATGTATCCATGAATTTGGGACTGGATATCAGCGCTGAGGCTGAGAAGGAGAGGGGTAGGATTCGGAGCTTTGAGGAGCAAGAGTTTGATGCGTTCCAGCGGGTGAAGCGGGAGTTGTTCCGTGACGTGCCCTATTTGCTCATTATTGACAATCTTGAGAGCGAGAGGGATTGGTGGGAAGGCAAGGATCTCTATGACTTCATACCAAGGAACACTGGAGCAACACATGTCATCGTGACCACACGTTTGCCACGCGTGATGAATCTTGAGCCGATGCAGTTGCCACAGCTCTCCTACATTGATGCGATGGCCTTGATACAGGGGAAAAGAAAGAAGGACTATCCACCTGAGGAAACTGAAGTTCTCAGAAAGTTTGATGAGCGGTTAGGCAGGCTGAGCTTTGGCCTGTGGGTTGTCGGTTCGCTGCTGTCTGAGCTCATGATTGCTCCTTCCACTCTCTTTGAGGCTGTTGATAGAATATCACTGAGCGAGAACTTGTTCCCCATTGGCGCCAATGACGATGGCTTCTGCCGTAACAATTCTTTCTTGATAAAGGTATTGGTCTTCTGTTTTGCTTTGATGGACCGAGCAAAAGGAGGAAGCCTTACGTCAAGAATGGTTATTGCCGGTTCTTGGTTAGCTCCCGCTCCTGTATCATCCACACTATTAGCTGCAACAGCGAGCAAGCTACCGATGAAAGGCAGTGGTATGCACCTCTTTGGTGAATCCCTCAAGACTGCATTTCTATGTGGCACACACTGTTTCCTAGCTCCAAATGGGCGGAAGGCTGAGGTGGAGTCAGTGCTCTTGCTTGTTAATCTTGGGTTGGCAAGAAAGGCAAATCGACATCCTGGTTGCTGGATCCAATTCCATCCTATCACACAGCTCTTCGGCAAGATCAGAGGAGGTTTGGCACCAACGACTGCAGCAGTGAATGGAGTGATGAGGGCTGGAAATCCCTCAGTATACTCTGACCACTTATGGGCTAGTGCCTTCCTCGTGTTTGGTTTCAAGTCCGAGCCACCCGCCGTCCAGCTTAAAGCAGTCGACATGGTCCTCTTCATCAAGAAGACGGCGCTGCCCCTGGCAATTGACTCCTTCATGTCGTTCTCGCGGTGCGGCTCGGCTCTGGAGCTGCTCAAGGTGTGCACCAACGTCCTCGAGGAGGTGGAGAAGTCGTACGCGTCACGGATGCAGGACTGGAACCGCGGGTCGCTGTGCTGGAGGAAGAAGCTGCAGCCGAACCACCGCGTCGATGAATTCGTCTGGCAGGAGGTGACACTGCTCAAGGCGACGCTGCTGGAGACGAGGGCGAAGCTGCTGCTCCGCGGTGGGCTGTTCGACACCGGCGAGGAGCTGTGCAGGACCTGCATCAGCATCCGGACTGTCATGCTCGGCCATGGCCATGCCCAGACGCTGGCTGCTCAGGAGACACTGGCGAAGCTGGTCAGGTACAGGAGTAAGATCTGAGATGAGATGATGTCCAAGACCCTCGCAAGCTCCTTGTATAATGTGACATCCCTCTGCTGTATTACAAAGGGTTCAGAAGTTTTCACGCCCCCATTTTTTTTTCTGAATCTGTTATACCACCAGCTACAGTTTTGTTAGCAATCATCAGTATAATAGCCAAGGTCCATGATGCCATGTGTAACTTATTTTAGCGCAGGTGCCATATGTAAGTGGAGGTGTTATGTACAGTACAGTCCATCTGCTATCTGGTAGAACTTCATTTTCATCTTACCATTGAGCTTCCCAGGCTGAACTTTCAGAAATGAAGATGTTCTTCCTTTTATCATATCGAGTTCAGATTTGGTGAGCAAAGAGCTGCGTCATGCCGTAAAGCTGCTGCAAACTGCTATGTTTTCTCCAAAAAAAAAAAAAAACATGCATCTATGGTCAAATCTGAATGCCAAACAAGAATCTGTAGTCTTTCTGAAATGTCTTCTTTGTCACCGCACCATCATCAGGTGGGTGGTAATAGCTATGAACAGTCCTGTTGCTTGCTGCCTGATACGCAAGCTCGTGGTGTTTACGAGCTCAGCTTTTGATGCAAGGTTTGTCGGGGAAAACTGCGACGTCTGAATCTGATCTCGCGACATTTCACCCAATGACCCAACGAAACGATTCTTTCGCCGAAAGCAATAGTACGAAGCAGAAAGAAAAAGCAATGTTTTTTTTTACTGAAAGGATAGTAATAGAGGCCTAGAGGGAGGCTAGCAGCAACAGGCGCCGCCCTTTTGTTCGTCCGAAGGAACTTTCCATGCCTCCCTGAACAACTTCTGTTCTTTGAGCTTCGTCTACATGGACAGCAGGACGACATCTCTGCTCTTCACGCGCTTTTCGCTTGTTGGTTTCAGCCAGCCAACAATATTTTCCACTCATAAAAAATCAATACCAGCCAGCTCAAACCAGCACCAACACCGACCAACCAACAAACCCTTTGACGACGACGATGACAAATGGCATGTTCATCTGGCGACCTGCCGCTGCCTTTTTGACTTTGTGAGTGACATGCACTCCCAGATCCAAGTGGGCTGTAGTGGAGTGGAGGCCTACCAAACCAACTCGGGTGGTCAATGGGCCTGTGCCTGTCTTTGTCGGCCCAACCCAACCCACCCGACGACGACCAGCCCGAGGTGGGTGCATGCTTGCGAATACGAACTCGCACAGGGGGCTATCTGCAAAACACGCGCGCACCCAGCCCGACCCACACGGCCACACCCACCCAGCTTTGCTTTCCTCGCCCGCTTCGCCTCCCTCCTCCGTCTCCGCCCCGCGTCGCCCATCGCCAACCGCCGACAAGATCCGGAGCGGGAAAACCAGCCCCAGATCCGGCGGCGAGATCGCGGGACCCGGGAGAGGCCGTACGCACTCTCACGCGATACCGCTGAGCCCGGGCCTTCCTCCTCCCGCCGCTGCTGTCGCCATATGGCGGGGAGCGACCTCGAGCCGCTGCGCACTGGCGCGGCGGCGCTGCCGTCCTCGTCGGACCCGGACTCGCCCGCCGCGACCCCGCGCCGGAGCCGCGTGCGGGACCTGCTGCGCAACCTGGACCGCCGGCTCTCCAACCGGAGCCGCGGCGGCGGCGAGGGCGTGGCGCGCGGCCGCGGGGCACGGCGGCGGGGAGGCCGGGGCGTCGCCAAGGAGGGGCGAGGAGGACAGCGACGAGCTCGGCGACGGCGCGCCGCCCGAGTGGGCGATGCTGCTCGTCGGCTGCCTCCTCGGGCTCGCCACCGGCATCTGCGTCGCCGCGTTCAATCTCGGGGTGAGTGCCGAGATCTCTCCTTGTGGGGGAATCGCGTTGTTTCTTACGGAATAATCTGTGCCATCTTTTTATTTTCTACCGGTATGCTAGTGTTAATTAGTTTATTACCCGTTACAATCGTGATTTGCTGTTTAGGATGCTATGCTAAGAGACCTCAATGTATTTTTTGTGCCTCCTATAAATGTGAAATTTCATACCGTGGGGATGGTAGCATGTTTCACAGTAATTCGATTTCGACTCTGCTGTCTGAGGCTAAGGGTTTGCAGCCAGAATCATTTGTTGTATTGTAGTGCTACTGACTGCCTAGTGTCTTCTTGCTGGCGATTTTTGTGAATGACTTTGTTCCCTGTTTTCTGTTTTGTGCTGTTAATTGATTTGGTAGCTTCTGGTAATGCTCAATTGATTAGGTGGATGACTGTTTTATTTTCCTCAGAATGCGCAAAAAAACAAAAGCCACTCACAGACACAGAATTTAAGCTAACCGTATGTAAAGATGACTCAATTTGTTGTTTTACTATTTAGTGCTACCAGTGAATTAATTAACATGATTCTCATTTTGTGAGTCACTGGTCTTTGTAGTGATATCTTGGTGATTCCATACCATTTGGTGTGGATTTATTATTCTATACAATCAAGGTGATTTTACTCACCTGTTTGCTCTCTTGCTATGATCTTGAGCCACTGGCAATCGGCAAGCAATTTCCAATACAGGGTTAGATCTAAATCCGTTGCACATCTGTTGTGCTGTGTACTTAAGTCAGCTATTCAAATCAAAAGGAGAATATCTTACTTTGCAAGAACATATTGTCATTGTATGAGGGCTATTCGATTGTGTTTGGCTGTGCATTTTTTTATTTACACAAAGTTCTTATTTGAACCTTCCCAAATGTCTGTTACTCTGTCTCAGAAGTGCCTGCCTGGCTTTTTCAGGTACACGTCATACATGAATGGGCATGGGCAGGCACTCCCACTGAGGGTGCTGCTTGGCTCCGTCTGCAGAGGCTTTCTGATACTTGGCATAGGATATTGTTAATTCCAGTGACTGGTGGAGTAGTTGTGGGTATGATGCATGGATTATTGGAGATTTTTGAACAGATAAAGCAATCGTTATCATCTCAAAGGGAGGGTATTGATTTCATGGCTGCGATTTTTCCCACAATCAAAGCCATCCAAGCCGCAATTACTTTAGGGACAGGGTGTTCACTGGGGCCAGAAGGACCCAGTGTTGATATTGGTAAATCGTGCGCAAATGGGTGTGCTGAAATGATGGAGAACAATAGGGAACGGAGAATTGCTCTTGTTGCTGCTGGATCAGCTGCTGGAATCGCTTCAGGTATTTAATTAATTAATTATCTATTCCATTTGTGATATGGACTCGATGGATCGAAAATGAATGGGGTGTGTTTCCAGTTTTGTTTCAGCCTGTTAAGATACTCGCCATTTTTATCTCAAAAATTGCACTTTTGTTTAGGAAGTGGAAACATGAAATATTTTCAGGAATAATAAATCTTTGGTTAAATTCCTTTTTATAACCGTCATGCTACTGTTGCCCTATATCCTCCCCTAACTTGTGTTACTATGTTCCTTTAGGTTTCAATGCTGCAGTTGCTGGATGCTTTTTTGCTATCGAAACAGTATTAAGGCCACTTCGAGCAGAAAATTCTCCACCATTTACTACTGCTATGATCATATTGGCATCAGTTATATCATCAACTGTTTCCAATGTTTTGCTAGGGGAAAAGGCAGCATTTATTGTCCCGACGTATGAACTAAAATCTGCTGCTGGTATTTTACCTTATTCTGATCATTTTTGGTGTTAATAAGGTAGATGTTTCTTAGTTACCTTCAAGATATAGGGAAGCATGTTTTCTCAACTTATTGTTGGCTCTAATTTCCATCTATATTTTTTGAGATAATTTCAGTCTTTCATTGTGTGATACATGGTCCATACATTTTTTTTTGCACTTTTGCTATTTCGAGAAACATTATTGTGAGTGAATATCTGTAATCAACTCTTGCGAACTTCCGATTGTAAATCATTTATAGCCATTGTTCATTACCATGCCATCTTATGTCTCCAACTTCTATATTTTCCTCCAGCAGCCTGTCTAGCATTCTCTTTTTGAAACCTGGGAACTCATGTAAAGCTTTTATTTCCTACCTTAGGCTCTAGTGCCCAATTGAACTCTATCTGACTCCTTAATCCTCCTCTAGGCTTATGGTAAGAGCTCGAACATGTGTTCTTTTTTCTTTTTCATTTTGGTGTTAATTGCTTTCCCAGGAGCAAAAGCAGATAGTTGTATTGCCCTTCTGTAGTCTTTTAATAATCAAATGTGGCAGGTTCATGGTTTTGTTGCTGTTCTAATTACCACCACGATGCAGCATGTGTGATTCCATGTAGAAGTATTTACAACTCTGTTTTATTAGTGTTTTCATGAGCTAGCATTTTTTATTGACGTTTAGAATTTGGTACCTTGCAATACTTTGTGGTCTAACATGAGCTGTATTTGCCCAAATTTTTTACTGTTAATGTTACTTTGTTTCAACATAAAACTGACTAAGATTATATTCTCCAGAGCTGCCACTCTACCTTATTCTGGGCATGCTTTGTGGTGTTGTGAGTGTGGCATTCAGGCAGTTGGTTGTTTGGTTCACTAAGGCTTTTGACTTGATAAGGAAGAAGTTTGGCCTTCCTGCTGTAGTATGTCCTGCTCTAGGTGGTCTTGGAGCAGGTTTAATAGCTCTAAGGTATCCTGGAATATTGTATTGGGGTTTCACCAATGTCGATGAGATTCTACATACGGGTAAAAGTGCTTCAGCCCCTGGAATCTGGCTCTTGGCTCAATTAGCTGCTGCGAAAGTTGTAGCAACGGCACTTTGCAAAGGTTCTGGTCTTGTTGGTGGCCTTTATGCTCCAAGTTTGATGATTGGTGCTGCTGTCGGTGCTGTTTTTGGAGGCTCAGCAGCAGAATTAATAAACTCTGCGATTCCGGGTAACACTGCTGTCGCACATCCTCAAGCTTATGCACTGGTAAGTTTCTTATTTTTTGTCAGTCAGTTTAACACTTGATAACTCCAAGAGTGTGCTAACTTTCCATACGATTTAGGTGGGAATGGCTGCTACACTGGCTTCAGTGTGTTCTGTTCCACTGACATCTGTGCTGCTGCTCTTTGAATTGACTAAGGATTACAGAATTCTACTTCCTCTAATGGTACTCTACATTGGGTTTGCATTTTTTTACTGCCCTATAATTCAATATATTCATTATTTTGTGCTGATTAACAGGGAGCTGTTGGTTTAGCGATATGGGTCCCATCTGTTGTAAATCAATCTGGTAGCAAAGATACATTCGAGGCAACATCACCTCGCCATGGCTATTCGTCACTGTTACCTCCCACGGATAGGAATGAGACAGATTGGAGGCGACAAGATGGAGACGACGTGGAACTCGCAATTTTAGACGTTGATCCCTACCACTATGGTAGTAACAATGAGGAGATGCTTCTTGATGACTTGAAGGTTGATAATTGAAGTTATTCTCTTTTTTTGTTTGTACAAAGTTAAATGATTAATACATTTATGAAATGCGATGCTCAAGTTATTTTGCAACTTACTAACATCACTTTTCCAGGTATCGCAAGCAATGACAAAGCATTATGTGAAGGTCACACCTACATTCACCATCGAGGAGACAACAAGGCTTATGCAAGAGAAGCAGCAAAACTGTGTTGTTGTTGTAGATAATGAAGATTTTCTTGAGGGAATTGTAACATTAGGTGACCTTCGTCGAAAAGGATTTGTGCCAAGTGAAAACTCTGATAGTACCCAGGCAAATTCATCGACCTTGGATGTATGTAAACTGCTCATATTGTGGCTGCAATTTTAGTCCTTCGTGTTATTTACTAGTTATGTTAGCACTACAAACATTTACTTGGCAACTTTGCAGGCAAATTCTTCTCTTGTGTCATCATGCCTCACTCGAGGTTTTCAGTTCCATGGCAATGAAAGAGGACTGGTGACCTGCTTTCCAGATACAGACCTGAGCACTGCCAAGGTTCTTATGGAAGTTAAAGGGATTAAACAACTTCCAGTAGTCAAACGTGGTGCTGGCCGTAGAAATGATGGGAGGCGTAAGGTCCTTGGCCTTCTTCATTATGATTCAATAGGATGGTGCTTAAGGTGATCCCTTTCCCCTGTTTATGTTTTTGGTTTATTACTTTAGTTGTCTTATTAATAATCTGCTTCTTGTTTTCTATGTTAACATGTCATATTTGCTTTGTTAATGAGATATATAAGTATATAACCATGAGTAATTGACTTTCACATGTACAGTACACACAACCAGTGTTTTGAAAACTTTAAAGTAACTGGATGAAAAACTGAAGGTGATCATGTTTTGGTTTTAGATTGAGCAGAACTAAAACCGAATACATGAGATGTGACTTTGGCGGAGTTGTATAGGAGGAGTGAGATGTGAGTTTGGAAGGTCAAGTAGTGCCTAAGAAGGGTACCTTTCGGTATCTGGGATCGATGCTACAGAGGGATGTAGATATTGATGCGGACGTTAGCCATAGAATCAAAACAGGGTGGATCAAGTGGCGACAAGCTTTTGGCATTTTCTGTGACAAGAGGGTACCACAAAAGCTAAAAGGCAAGTTCTATAGAACGGCGATTAGACCGGCTATGTTGTATGGAGCAGAATGTTGGCCTACAAAGATTCGACATGTTCAACAACTGAGTGTTGCAGAAATGCGTATGTTGCGATGGATTTGCGGTCACACAAGAATGGACTGAGTTCGGAACGATGATATACGTGATCGCCTAGAGGTAGCACCAATTGAAAAAAAGCTTGTCTAACATTGGTTGAGGTGGTTTGGCCATGTCCAAAGAAGACCTCCAGAGGCACCAGTGCATTGTGGAGTCCTAAGCCAAGCTAATAATATGAGGAGAGGTAGAGGAAGGTCGAAATTGACATGGGGAGGCAATAAAAAGATATTTGAAAGCTTGGGATATACCTAAAGATCTATATTTGAATAGGAGTACTTGGAAAGCAGCTATTAAAGTGTCTGAACCGTGACTTATGGCTCTTGGTGGGTTTCAACTCTATCCTACCCCAACTTGTTTGGGACTAAAAGGCTATGTTGTTGTTGTTGTTGATGATGATCATGTTTTGGTTTTCCAGCACCCATTCTTCAGGGCTCAGATTCCCTGTAGACCTCCTTTCTTATCATTAATTACACTAGAATTCTTAGAAAACCTTGAAATATTGCAAATCTAGAATTGAATTTGAGAGGAGCAAACTGTTTTTGGCACCCAGATACCCCGCACAGAAAACTGACAAACTAGGATTCTGTTTTCTGGGTCCAAAAGTTTCTAGCACTAAATACTACCAAACACCACAGTTTCCCTAAGAGCCTGATTGTAGAAGCATTTCAGCATTTGACTGTAACTGAACAAGTGTGAGGTAACTTATTGACTGACATAGGAGAACCCTTGTGCTTCCTAGTACCTTACAATAAAAAAAATGCTAATGTTTAGGCTGTTATGCATCTGCAGGGAAGAGCTTGAGCGGTGGAAGGCACTATACCAGAGAGAGAATTTCCAGCAGTCAACAGTTAATGGGCACTGAATTTGTGGAACTGAAGTTTTGTTTGTGCCTTGTAGCGAAGAAGATACGAAATATATAAAGTGACATTCCGACAAAACTATAGGGTTAACTTAGAACGCATCTGTCAAAGAGCCCCCTCGTCAACTGTAAAGCCTTGAGTCTTACCAAGATATGCATTTTGTATCAAACATATATATATATAAGAGGTTTAAGAGGTGATCCATATCCATATATAAGATGATGTGTGTGGTCTGCTGTTATCAGATTTCGTTGTGGAGTGCTGAAGTTCGGACACGGTATTGTACATAAACCTGATTTGGTCGCCCTTGTTCAGTGCAAGAGGTTGCTACTCAAATTATGGATGTTGGAAGAGAAAAATTACAAGGCTTTTTTTTTCCCGTTAGGACAAGTATTTGATCATACTGTTTTGTTATTACTCCCTTCGATCAAAACAAATGGCGGTCGGAAATCTTAATTATTAGTTCAAAATAAATTAATTTATTTGTTCTACTATAATAATATACTTAAAGTTGGAGTAATACATATTTGTGGCGCATAATTATTGTTATTAAAGCATTATTCAAAACTGCCTATAGTTATAATTTTCTGTCATATAAATAAAGTACTAGTTTTAATAGAGTAATTGCTGGCCAAAGTTTTATGTTGGTGAAATGAAAACACGCCTTGTAAAGAAAACGTATGGAGTTTTTAATATGCTTAACGTATGGAGTTTTTAATATGCTTTGTCATGTACTCTTGCATGTATTTTTGTAGCGCTATATATACACGCTAGAAGTCCTAGTTCCTACTCAGGGATGCAAGTAGGTTTATCCACAAATCCACAAATAGGTTTCATGCATGTATTTTTGTAGTGCTACATACACGCTAGAAGTCCTAGTTCCTACTCCGTACTCAGGATGCAAGTGGGTTTCACAAATCTACAAATAAGTTTTATTTTGTATGTAGGTAACCTGCAAAACTAAATCTAATTGCCGGTTCAAAGGACAAAACTGTGTCAGCGTGCATCTCTGCTCCTACTGGCTTTGTTACAAGCTGGTAGAACGAGTAATCTCATAAAAAAAATCCCATACAATCTAAGGCCAAAACAACAGGCACACTGGAAGCTGATCATTTTGAGATGCTGAGATGCCAAACCACAGGCAGATTAAGATATCTCATATCTGGATGCAATTATCTTAAGCTGGTAGTGTTGCTGACCCCTACTTACTAATTACTATGACTGAATGATCAAAACATTACTACGATTGTGGATTGGATCATGCAGGACTCCGTACGGAGTCACAAAGATTTGCGCATCAAGTGTAACACCAAGAAATGGATGTCACTTACCTGAAGTCTTTAAGAAATCAAAGATGGTCCAAGTGTGACACCAGGGAATAGAAAGGAGCACGAAATAAGGAACCAATAACGCACCCGCCCCCCCCCACCCCACACACACCCACCCACACACACCCCTCTTCTCTCTCTAAAAACATGGAACACCAAATGCAAGGCACAATATATAATCAGTCGCCCAATACCATATATCATAGAATCACATTGCAGCTGAAAGTCACCAGAATCAAGCATGATCCAAGTCACACCTGATGATCAAGTAATGTTCCATCAGAGAAGGGCCAGGATCGATCATAACATTCAGCTAAATAGCACAAATAGTGTTCCAACAGCATGCCATGGACAAAAATGGAGCTGACAATTGAACGTGCAGCTAGACCCCCAAAGCATCTCACCGGCGCAGAGCATGCCATATCCCACCAAAACATGTTACCAGCTTGAGTCCAGCACTGCTAGCTAAACCTGGATCAAAAGGAAATTTCGGTAAAACAAAGTCGCATTAGTAAATGCCTGCCTTGCATAATGTGGGAGGGTTAGAAAGAGCAAACTGAAACCATGTATGTGTGTGTGGAAATGAGTTCACCTAGTAGAGAACTTAACAGCTGCAAACGCTTCCTCCCATCCTCAGCTCATCCTATGAATGTCATCCTCATGTTACCAACCAAGTGGTAATCCCCGGGCATTTTCGTCGATGGCGACGCTTCGGTTGGTTCAGGTGAGTCAACGTCATGCGACCAATTCGCCATTCCTTCAAGGAAAATCAATCAATGCTTGTCGGAACACAACACATGGTATCATGCAAGTCTAGATTTATGGTGGGTAAAGGTTAAAGCTCAATCATTATTTGGATAACCATGAGTGTAGAAAGATGAAACGTCTTTCTATAAATAACTAAGATGCCAAATGAGACAAGTTAGAATAAACATTACAATATTCACATACAAATTAAACACAGCGTGGCATATTCTACAAATAATATTTGACAAATAACTAGTCTCATTGTGATCGAGAAGTTAGTCCACATCAAGCATTGGCTTCCTAATTCAATCCAACATTATGTGACCAAGATGTAAACACTTCTATTCACAAAAGAAACACACAACAAATGTACACATTTTCTACAGTTACTTAATCTCCACTAGTGGTAACAGTAACACCAAGAGTAATAAACTAATGTAATAGCACATCACCAGTGAATAGTACAGGTTTGTCAGCATCAATTATAGAAAGAAAATATGCTGGCCCAATTTATAGACTTCGAACATATGAGGCATACAGTGCAATAAATAGACATATAACTGGTACTATCAATCATCAAGCACATCGCTTTGGTACTGCTTGCCAAGGAATATTAGAATAGATTTTGAACTTAAGCACATGAAAGAAAATTTGCAGACATGTAACTTGTAACCATGAAACATCTACAATTGGTGAGTGCATCGATCAAGCTATGAACATGAGTGTATATACTCCTTCCGTTCCGAATTATAAGTCGCTTTGACTTTTTTGGTTCATCCATTTTGCTATGTATCTAGACTGTCTAGATACATAGCAAAATGGATGAATCAAAAAAGTTAAAGCGACTTATAATTTGGAACGGATGGAGTATGTCAGTTGTCGGTGAATGCAGCACATTGAGCAGGAATAACTTCACTTCAAATGGCATTGGCCGTCTAACTAACTTGATACGAGGCACAAAACCGAAGTAAACATATCCTACAAATAGTGAGTCTCAGTTTGTGTAAGCATCAACATAATAGGCTAGTCTAATAGCATGCCATTATGTGGAAAACTAGTATCTCAATCATCAATGCTTAAGGAGGATATGTTGGATTGTTGGCCCTATTTATATGCTCCAACCAAATGAGACATCAAGTATAGTAAATCAGCATATAATTGATACTATCGATTATCTTGTGCATCGCTTGGATCCTGAACTTCAGCTCATGTCAGTAGTGACCTGAAACAGCTACAACTGATCACACCATGCATGAACTCTAGAAACTAAATAGTATATATGTCGGTAGTAAGTGAATGCAGCAGGCAGAGGCAAGCAATTAGTCAAAAGCCAATGTCTTTATGGCCATATAATTATGCATCACTGACCCCAGACCAAAATATAATCTTTAACTTGCACAAGCATGAAGGAGGGTTTGGCAGACATGCATCTAAGTGACCAAGCTATGAACTAGAGTAAGTGCATGCGCGGCAGGCAGAGGCAAGCGATCGATGAAAAGGCAACACCTTTCAGAAGGATATAGATGAACATCTATACTACTAATAATAAACAGCAGACAGAGCCAGAGATGAGAATGAGCTGAAGTAGTGAGATCAGGGCAAGGCACGGTACAAACCTGAGGAGACTGCACCAAGCAGCACCCACGCGCGGACGAATCGGTTGGCCATGTCGTAGTCGCGGGGTGGCGCCACCAGGTGGTAGCGGTCGCGCTCGACGACCTTGCGGGCGGGCACGTCGACAGCGAAGAGGTGGTCCTCGAGGAAGAAGTAGACGATGGCGGGGTTCAGGGGGTGGATGAGCGCGAGCACGGGGGGCTTCTTGGGGAGGCCAGTGGCCTTGTACGTGTCGTCAGCCCAGATGTCGGCGAAGGTGGCCTCATGCTCCAGCATCCACTCCGTGGCGTACGGGTGGGGCAGGGTCCAGACGGTGACCTTGTTGGGGCCGCCTCCCCGGCGGTAGATGTCGACGAAGCGCAGGTTGCCAGCGCTGACCCCAACGTAGCGGAACTGGTCGAGCACCCCCCAGGCCTCCCTGCTCTGGAGCACGCAGGGGCGGGGCAGCGGGACGAAGCCGAGCACGGGTTGGTCAGCGAAGGGATCAGCGGTGATGACGCCCCAGGAGTAGTCGGCCCACCAGAGCCTGCCGTGGAGGGCGAGCGTGCGGAGCGGCGCGAGCGGGCGCGGCGGGAGCGGGTAGCGCACGCGCTTCTCGACCCACTCGCCGACGTCGGAGTAGTAGCAGCGGAGGGTCGCCGTGTCGCTGCCGATGAGCGGCAGGAGCTCGGCGACCACGTAGCGGCCGCCGCCGCCGGGGCAGGCGAGGAGGCCGAGGAGCGCCTGGTGCTCGACGGGCTCATGCGGGGACGGGGCCGGGAGGCGGAGAGCGGAGCCCGTGGCGGCGTCGAGGACGAAGTAGCGCGGGTCGGAGTCGCGCCAATAGAAGGACTGGTGGCCGTCCGGGCGGTCGACGTCGACGCGGGTGAGCGGGGCGTCGAGGATCGCGGAGAGGAGGAGCAGCCCGAGGGTTCCGCGGCGAGCACGAACGGGAAGTTCCGCGGCGTCGGACGGTCCGGGAAGACGCGCGGGGAGATGGACAGGTCGGCGCCGCCCTCGATCTCGGCGACGCGCGGGATGCTGCCGAGGATAACCCACGGCGACGTCGTCGGGGGCGGGGGCGGGGGCGTGGCGGGGTCGGCCGTGGCGGGCGCCATATGGTGGTGGCCCGCGGTGGTGCTGCTGTGGCGGCGAGCGGGGAAAAGGAGCGTCTTGGTTGGCGCCGGCGCGAGAGGTGGCGGAGGATTGAGCGCTGCGGCCCCCGCGCTGGCTGCGGCCGCGGCCGCGAGCGCGAGGGTTTTGGCGCTGCCTCTGCTGCAGGCCGCCGCAGCGGAAGCAAGCCAGTGCAGGTGGAATCCCATCCGAATTTCCTTGGACTGGCACTGGCTTGGGGTTGGGGTTTTGCTCTGTGCTTGTTCTTGTGCGGGCGCGGGCGAGACGAGAGCGCGAGCACCAATGCAAGTGGTGGAAGAGGCGAGACCTGCTGGGGCTAGTAGGCCGCTAGGGCTGCTCAGCCTGTGCCGTGGTGTGCGGGCAAACGATCCGGTGAATCCAGCAGACTGCGAATCAGATTTGTTTAGGCCCGTTTGGTTCAAAGGATATTGCTTGGCGGGCAAACGATCCGGTGAATCCAGCAGACTGCGAATCAGATTTGTTTAGGCCCGTTTGGTTCAAAGGATATTCACATGAAAAGTGAAGGAAACATAAACGGAGGAAAGAAATGGAAGAAGATCATTTGGAACGGAGGAAACAACGACCCATTCCCTTTAGAATACTGTAGCTAATGCTGATTTCACAGGAAAGAAAGAATCCACGACCCCTGGTTTTCTCTTCCTTCCTGGAAGCCCGAGGGCCGAGGCAACCTACGGCAACAATGGAGGCAACTTGCGGTAGTTAAGAGTAATCAGTACCTATATTTGTCTAATATGTTATAATTCATATGTTATAAATTCCTGTGTTTCAAACAACTTAAATTTTTTGTTCCTATATTTTAAAATTCCGTAGTTTTTTATTTTTCATCATACTTTATTCCTGTGTTTTTTCTATTCCAATATTTTGGATTCCTTCGTTCCAAACATGCCCTTAGATGAGATTATACTCCTTCAGTACCAAATGTCCAAATAACTGCACTTCTAAGATTTTCAATCAAGAGAGTTAAATGTATATACACGGTTTCTAAACTTGTCAAAAAATATCACTTAAATTCACAAACTTTGAAAATACATTTCTAAATCACTGGACTATGCTAAAGACCTCGACAATTTTTTAGTTAGCTTTTTACACCGTAGACCCATAACAGCCACGTGGGCATTCATCTGACGTTGTGTTGACACGCGCCCTGTTCGTTTGGGCTGGTAATCCTGTTGATTGTTTGAGTGAGAGAAAAATATTGTTTATTGGCTGATAAAACATGACTTATAAGCTAAATACGACCAAGCGAACAGGCTGACGAGCTCCGGTGTCTTCTCATCTAAGGGGTGTTTGGATCTAGTGATTAAAATTTAGGAGGTGTCACGTGAGAGTGTAGCATGGGATGTTCGGATACTAATAAAAAACAAATTATAGAATATGTCAGTACGAGACGAATTTATTAAGCCTAGTTAATCCGTCATTAGCACATGTTTATTGTAGCACAACATTGTCAATCATGGACTAATTAGACTTAAAAGATTTGTTTTACAAATTAATCGCAAACTATACAATTAGTTTCATAATTAATCTATATTTAATACTCCATGTATATGTCAAATATTCGATGGGACATCAACTAAAGTTTAGGAGAATGAATCCTTAAATTCCCGACTAGGCGAATCGTTTGCATCCATCATCCCCAAACCCTAGCGTCCCGAATCCGTCAGGGGAGGGAATGGTTGTAAACAGGTGCTATTTTTTTAATAAATTTCAGTAGAGGGTCAAACCCCTCCTATTTCATGAAAAAAACATTTTTACGGTTCTAGCACTAGCACTAGGTGATACCTTAATTTGAAAACTGCTCATGAATTTAACTTGCTTAAAAATTATCCTAAAAAGATGCACGTATATAGGCTAGCAGGTGGACCTGCTTGTGGGACCCACAAGGCCACGAACGTCGCGTAGGCGGTAGCTCCACCACCGACACGTGGCCAAGGCCATGGTCCACACCACATCAGTCCCCTCACGCCGCGGCCGGTCCGGCCGTCCGGGACAGCCAGTAGTCGGTACGCGACAATGCCAGGGTGAGGGGAAGCAGCTCAAGCTCGTACGGACAGGGGCCCACCACTTCACTCCACGCTCGCTTTCTTGTGATCTCGCCGGCTCGCCGCGCCCACAGCCAAACGCCCAAACCAAGCCAAAGCGGCAAAGCCCTCTCTTTTCTCCCCACTCGCCGCCACAGCCGCGGGCACGCCCCCACCGCCCTCAGATGGCGCCCACCACGGCCGACGCCGCCCCGGCGCCGACCCTTCCCCCGCCGACGTCGCCGTGGGTCATCCTCGGCAGCAACCCGCACGTCGTCGAGCTCGAGGGCGGCGCCGACGTGTCGCTGGCGCTCGCCGCGCCCCCGCGCGTGTCGCGCCTGGCCGTCTCCCCGTGCGTCTTCCCGGACCGCCCCACGCCGCGGAACTTCCCGTTCCTGCTCGCCACGGACCCCTCGGGCCTGCTCCTCCTCTCCGCGATCCTCGACGCGCCGCTCACCCTCGTCGACGTCGACCTCCCGGGCGAGCAGTCCGTCCACTGGCGCTACTCCGACCCGCGCTACTTCGTCCTCGACGCCGCCACGGGCTCCGCGTTCCGCCTCCCGGACCCGGACCCCAAGGAGCCCATCCAGCACCAGGCGCTCGTCGGCGTCCTCTCCTCCCCGGCGGCGGCGGCGGCGGCTACGTGGTCGCAGAGCTCCTGCCCTTCATGGGCACGGACAAGGCCGACCTCCGCTGCTTCGCCTCCGACGTCGGCGAGTGGGTCAACAAGCGCGTGCGCTACCCGCTCCCAGCGCGCGTGTTCGCGCCGCTCCGCACCCTCGCTCACCACGGCAGGCTCTGGTGGGCCGACTACTCCTGGGGCGTCCTCACCGCGGACCCCTTCGCCGATGACCCCGTGCTCGGCTTCGTCCCGCTGCCCCGCCCCTGCGTGCTCAAGAGCAGGGAGGCCTGGGGGGTGCTCGACCAGTTGCGCTACGTCGGGGTCAGCGCCGGCAGCCTGCGCTTCGTTGACACCTACCGCCGCGGAGGCGCCCCCGACAAGGTCACCGTCTGGACGCTGCGCGACCCGGACGCCCCGGAGTGGACGCTCGAGCACCAGGCCACCTTCGCCGACGTCTGGGCCGACGACACCTACAAGGCCACTGGCCTCCCAAAGACGGCTCCCGTGCTCGCGCTCATCCACCCCAGCAACCCCGCCGTCGTCTACTTCTTCCTCGAGGACCACCTGTTCGCCGTCGACGTGCCCGCCCGCAAGGTGGTCGACTGCGAACGCTACCACCTGGTGGCGCCTCCCCGCGAGTACGGCATTGTCAACCGATTCGTCCGCGATTGGGAGCTGCCGCGAGCGTTGTCCTCAGGTATACCATCACCATGTTCATGCGCCCATGCCTCGTCCTCATCTCATCCCATCTCTGGCTATGCTGCTCAATGTGTTCACTTTTGACTCATAACTCATCGCTCGCTTCTGTGTTTTTGGCTGGTGCCTGCCATTTATATTTGCTCTACTAGTTCATTGCTTGATATTTCTCCCTCAGAAAAGGAAAAAAAAATCATTGCTAGATGTTTCAGGGTTAAAACTATATGTCCTTGCAGAATTGTCTTTGATGTGCTCAAGGTAAGAGCTACACTAATATTTGGGCAAGGGGTCCCAAAGTGATGCACATGATGATCGATAAACCAATTATGTCTTGCCTCCTTAGATGGTTAGAATGTTGAAATTGGTTAACTTATTTTCTTGAAATCATAGTGTTCTGCACTGGGGGCGTGCTATTAGACTACTTTATTATTGTTTTTGTTAACCACAAGTTGAGAGTAAGTTTTTGTATGTTACATGTTAACATATGCATGCTTCATCTGTGAATAAATGTTACATATTAACATATGCATGCTTCATCTATGAATAAAATGTTTACGTCGTATATATTGCTGGATCGAGTTAGGCATCCATCAATGCCTTTTCTTACACACAACACATATTCGATCACCAAGATTCAAGAATAATTTGTTCATCACAAGTTCAGAACCTGAAATCACTAGTTATTTTTAATGCACCATTTTAGCATCTGATCACAGTTAGAAACAGCCACCGTAAGCTTCCTACTACTTCCTACACATCTGCTTTTGAATTTTATTTCCTGTTGCTAGCAGGCAGTATATATTTTGTAACTAGGAGCAATTAAATAGGCTATCCAAATAGTGATGGGGAGAAATCCAAATTAGCATAATGCCTTTGTTTTGACTGCTGAGTTTTGACAAGTGTTGGTTTTGCTTGAAGGGCCAGGCAATTGGTCGAGTGACATTGGCTTGACTGAACCAACTGAAGCAGCACCACCATCCCGGCCAATCCCTGGCGGTTACCACTTGGTTGGCAACACCAAGCAGACGTTCATAGGATGAGCTGTGGAGCAAGGGGTTTGAAGCTGTTTAATTTCCTTCTAAGTGAACTTGTTTCCTCCACACTGATGTGAATATGTGATCTCATTTCCTCTGCATATCTACCTTCCCACACTTGATGCATGCATGCAGGCTATGCAAGCTGCTGATTTCTGTTCTGCCCAAATTTCTGATACAGGTTAAGCAGCAATGCATGGGCTCAAGTTATGTTATGGCGATGTGTTTTGGCTGGGACGGTCTTCTGGGGGGTCATGCTGCAGATGAACTCATCGCCTCTGCTACTTTCATCAGATGGCAATATGGCATGCTAGCCGTTGGAACACTGTCTATGTTGCCTGAATGTATTCTTTGATCGAACCCTCGTCAGGTCGAATTGGAACACTACTCGATCGCCATGTTGTGGCTTAGATTCCGGTAACTTGAAACGCAAAGCTACCCCGATCCTGGGTGACGAATTGGCCCTTGCATTTGCTGTTTCATGTTGTTCTATTTGTGGTTTGTGAAACCTTACTCCATCATTAGTGTTAGCGTGTATGCCTTGGATCATGCCTGACTCCGGTGACTTGAGCTGCAGTGCCGTTTGAATTGATTATTGTTCAACTCCTATCTGAATTGTGAACTCAGATTTGACAAACAACTCAGGACGTGGACAAGAGAAGGTCAATCAATCACATAATTAGTGCTTTATTTTTTTATTAAAAAGGAAAAAGACCAGCAAAATACTGACCGATTTATGGGATGGTCTGTCTTTGAATGGTTACAGCACTGCGAAAGAGCAGATATTGAAGCTAGTTACTACTCCAGGAACCTAGTCTGAATAACTCAATGAACACAACAGCAAAGCCTGATGACCCAAGTTCATCCCTTCCCCTTTTCCTCTCTCCCTCCTTACTATTATCAGAATCATCTTCTGTACTAAAGGCTGAAAGCAAACAAAGGAGCTACGGTAGAAGAAACACACTGAGCAATGACATTGTTTATGTACACAAGCAAATAACAAATCCTATCTCTTCATCTCTGTCCCTGCTGGAGTATTTACATCTGATGATCCTGAGACCACCTGCCCATGAGCTGCTGGTAAGTTGCCGAGGCATTCCCATTCGCCACCGGTAATCTGGACTGCTGCTCTGGGTTCACCTTCGCCTCGCCTCTTGGCAGCATGAGGCCTGTGCAGCCCTGCATTGGCGATCCATGGCCAGGCACCTGCGCTTGCATGAAGTTGCCCAGAGATGGTACCGGCATTGCCATGCCAGGGGGGAGCATTCCAATGGAAACCCCCTGAAGCTGCACTGAGTTGTGGTGGGAGACAGAGTGAGCCGTAGGCAGCAGCAGCAGCGCTCAATTGAGGCATGCTGAATTGCGGAGGCTCTGGCCTCCGGTGAAGGCCGCTACCCTGTGGTGCAGCACTGGAGCCAGAGCTCGGATGCCCATTGCTGTTCCTGGCAGCTGGAACTTCATGGTTGTGTTTCCCCTCATACGTCGTGATCACGGACTTGAGATCGTTCGAGGCCCTCTCCACATGCTTGCGCACTGAGCAGCCCGCATAAGTGCATTTATAGTAGCTCCTATATGCAAATAGAAGGGTGTGTTGAACAATTGAAGAGGCTAAAATTCCACTTGGTTTCCTGATAAAGGATGAGTCAGACGGAAATTGGCACCAAGACTGACCTTGGGTTTGGGTTGCCTTTCACAACTTTCTGCCCATACTTGCGCCAGCGGTAGCCATCGTCAAGGATGTCGACCTCGCTTGTTGTTTGCACAACAATCCGAGGCTCCCGGGAAGCCCTTGATGCCATAGCCGCCATATCAATGCCAGTGTTGCTAGTGTTAGTAGCGGCAGAAACCTCCATTTTCCTGGAAAAGAGTCAAAGGAACAAATGAGAATTCGTTGACTAGGATGGTAGCTAGAATTATGTACTTGGTAACAAGGTCCAACCTTCTTTTAGATTCAGTCTCGTCTTCGTTCATGCCATTGGTTGAAGAAACGGCACAATGCATTGCCCTATTACCCTTCTCATTGGAGGAGAGTGTTGATGAGACATCCATAGACTCCATAACAGACGTGTCAGCAATCTCGGTTGTAGGAAGAGAGCCAGACAGTTTTGTTTCAAGAGCTCCGCTGTGCACATCTTGGAACTGGCCATTCGGAGCAATTCCCTGTGAAGTTGCCGAGTTATAGCCAGGCCCAGGCTTGGAACTGAAGTTCTCCAGACCATCAGCTTCTGAATCATTGAATTGCGACAAAGGGACACTTGGCCGGCGGTTGGGAAGCGGCAGTGGGTGACTATGAGAACCTCTGTAGACTATCTCCGTTATATGACCTTCTAGAGAACGCTCCACCATTTTCTTGACAGGGCATTTTGGGTGAGTGCATTTGTAGTAGCTCCTTGGATGTTGACTGTTCTTCACTTGCTTTTCTCCATATTTTCTCCAGTTATATCCATCCTCGGCGGTGCCAGTGAGTGGAGCTGAAGAATCTTCCCCATTTTGGATTTCCTCGCTCTGTTCTGGCTCAACGTCAGGGGAAGGATGATCATTATCAAACATGGAATCATATGTCTTAGGTTTAACTAGATTTTCCTCAGTTTCATGCTTGGTCGCAGTTGGGTTAGCATGAAGATTTAACTCCAGACTATCCTTCGCTAAGGACTGGGTTTGGTGAACAACACTTGACCCCTGACAGTGCAAATTCATCAAGGCAAGTGCATTATTAACTGGATATGCTTTTGCAGATTGAATTAGTAGAAGAAAAAAAAAGAAAAATGCAATTATAAGAAACAGCAATGGCAATAAATAAGTGCATTATTAACTGCTAGATATGCTTTTGCAGATTGAATTAGTAGGAAAAAAAAGAAAATGCAATTATAAGAAATAGCAATGGCAATAAATAGGTGATCAGGCAAATTACCTTCTCTGCAGTCCATAAGGTTGATGGTTTAGACCTCAAAATGGGCTGGAAGGAAAACGCAGAATCTTCATGTGAGTGATCTTCAGACTTCTCGGAGACGGACGGCATTGTTGATTTAAAATTATTAGGCATCAGGAATGGCAATTTACCAGTGGTAGGAGAAGGTTGCGACTGCAGAGATATAAACAGTTACGGAATGTTCAGACAATAAAGATTGGTTCACCTTTTTTCTTCTTCGAAAATTCCACCTTCGCAATAAGACATTGGAAAGTGGTAAAAAAACAACCAATTAGATTATCAGGTTAGAATATAGTTCAAAGCTACTGGCCAGCCTATCCTTCACAGTATCACCCAGACAAAAATCACATAATGAATACATACACTTACAATGGCATTTGGAAGGAAAACCGGTGACACAAGAAGTTCCCTGGGGCTCACACCAGGAGGAATTGTCACAGGAGACCGAATTGGTGCACCAGATGAACTGACACGGGACGTGTCAATTTTCAGGACACCAAAACCCGCTCTTGCGGCCATCCTCTCTGCAAGACCTCCAGGAGAGGTTGATTTCTGATTTGCGCCAAAAAGGTTTGATTCAGTCTGTGGATGGTCTTTCATATCTTGAGAGGTATCTTGAGCACTCGAACCAATGAAAGATTTACTCTTCTCAATTTCATCCAGTGGTTTGTTGCTTCTATCGTCACCAAAGATGTTGGAGAATGGAGCGGAGCTGAATTCTTCGCTGAAGAAGCTTGGCATCAGTGTTCTTGGGCTGGGTGAGGGAAGCATCCAATCCTCCATCAATGCGCAGCGGTTGTCGGTCCCAGCAATTAGGGTAGCAACTCAAACTTAAACCTTTAAAGCAAAACCATTATGTTAGTTGAAACGCTAAACAATCGTGTTAATAAGATCAAGTGGTGCAGTATTTCTATCAACTGTGCATAGGAAAAGGCAAATGAAATTACTAGACATGGCACATGATAGCATAGCTGGAAATGAGAATAGCTAACTGAAGATAGAAGCAGTCATTTAATATACAGGCACTTGAGCTCAGGATATGGACAGGTAATGGGGCTACCTTTGCACATACTATACAGCAACAGTAAAGGAACTTCTTAGACACAATGAGAGTAGAGTACTTTACTGCTAAACCCACGAGATCATATAAGGTGTGGAATTCATATAAACACAGAGTACACATATAAACACTACTGATTACTGAACGAATTCATAGTCCTATGTGCAAGTAAATTACAGCCAAACCAGCTGAACTTAGATCGCTGACATTTGAACTGAATCCAAGCACACCACTGCAAGATGCAGTTCGACTCAATCATGCAAACAACCACGGTGTAAAAAATAAAATAAAAATAAAACGTCAGGTCTCCAATTCTTTGCAAAACGACCCAGGACACAACTTTCTTACACAAACAACAGGTAACTAGCATCTCAATTTTGCAATTTTTTTATGGAACCAAATAAACCTCGAACTCGACACACAAATTACACAATCCAAGGAACAACCCACAAAACGTCGGCTTCGATGACAAAGGCGCCGCCTTTACCACAAAACTTTTAAAAACACGGAGGAATTAAACGCAACGGGCATTGAAATGGGCACCTGAGGTGGCTGGACCGGTCGACGGCAACGATACGGCTCTTCCTTGACAAAGCAAAGCGGCAGGAGAAGAAGAGGCAGCGAGGCGGCGGATGTGCGAATGCGGGGTGGATGGTCAAATCGGTCGCCCGCGGGGATAAGAACAGAACAGAACAGAACAATCGGGCCTCTGACTATGGAAAAAATTCGCGTCTTTCTACGGCCTTTTCAAGTCCCTTTTCACCCTGCAATTGTAGCAAGAACCTACCATCCACTGCAGCAAAAACTTTGCAAGCGGCAGTGGAAATGGAAACCAGATTCTTGCCCCCCACGAAGAAGAATCTGTTCCGAGACGACTGAATTGGATTCACCTCTCTCCCTCTGACTCTCTCCCTCTGTGTGTGTGTGGATGGCTTCCTGATATTTATGGGGAGCAAGCAGTTTTTGCCAGGAGAGGGAGAAGGAGAGGAGATGGAAGAGGGGGGAGACAAGGGCAGTTGGCCGAGAGGAGGCCAAGGGACCGAACGGCGGCAGAGAAACTGGAGGGAGGGATTCGTTGCAGGCGATAGGCTCCTCCTAATTTTGAGAGCACCGAACTGCAGAGCTGTCGTCTTCCCCATTCACTTTTCCCCCGTCTTTTATGGAAGCGGTTGCTCTTTAACCGTCTGACGGTTTAACTTTAACCACGACCATCTTTACATGCGTCATTATCTGCAGACATATTGTCATAATTTTATATTTTTATATATAAAAAATGATGCTTCTTTTCTCAACCACACAAAAAAAACATAGAGTCCAGTTTTTTTTTTTTTGAACCTGAGTCCAGTTCTTTTCTGGAGTGGCAGTAGCAGTGTTACCGTGTGCATTAGGTTAGTTATTAAACAGCACATATCCAGCATCCACTGTCATCTCATCTATTTTTAGCAGATTAATAAAACGAAGAAGACCGTATAAATATCATGCCACTCCAAGTCAGAGAGGAGATATTTTGCTTTTCATGTTCCAAGGATCTTCCTACAGGTACAGTACTCCGGTAAAGAGGACACCGCAACCCTGCAAGTTGCAGCTGAGCTGACAGCTCCACTCCCTGGCTCTGGCCTGTACTCCAGCAAGTGGTGCCGTACTGATCACTGAACAAAGAGGGGACGCAGAGGAGGAGAGGCGAGGTTCATTTTGTCTTCTCAAATCTCAAGCTCGGTGGTCTCATCCCATGGCGGCAGCCATCTCCTAGGCCTGACCACCAGTTTTGGCCCCATGCAGATCATGCGTGGATTATGATTTAGGCCTGGTTTAGATTCTTTCAAAACGTTTACGTCTTATTTCATCGAATGTTTAGACACATACATAGAATATTAAATATAGATTAAAAAAAATAACTAATTATACAGATTGCGACTAATCTTATCGAATATTTAGATATATACATAGAATCTTAAATATAGACTAAAAAATAACTAATTACACAGATTGCGACTACCTTACGAAACGAATCTTTTAAACTTAATTAGTCCATGATTTGACAATAAAGTGATATAATAACATATGTGCTAATAACGGATTAATTAGGCTTAATAAATTTGTCTCACGGTTTACTGACGGATTCTGTAATTTGTTTTTTTATTAGTATCCGAATACCACATGCGACACCCTCATATGACACTCGTTTCAAACAAACTTTACGACCTGAAACTAAACCAGGCCTTACTCTACAATGGATATGCATTCAGGCGTCTCGCCAGTTACCTAACTGTAAACATGCGCAGTTGCCATGACCATGAACAGGAGCAGCCGAATCCTCGATCACTGAACTGTACTATAGCCAGGATGAAGATGAACTGCAGTAGCTGAACACCGAACTAATTAGGTGGTGTTTAAATCCAGTAACTAAAATTCAAGATGTCACGTGGATATATCACATGGAAGTGTTTGGATAGTAATAATAAAATAAATTACATAAGTCCTCGGTAATCCGTGAGGCGTATTTATTAAGCCTAATTAATCCATCATCAGCACATGTTACTGTAGCAACACATTATCAAATCGTGAATTAATTAGGTTTAAAAATCATCTTGCAAAGTAGTCACAATCTGTATAATTAGTTATTTTTTAGTCTATATTTAATACTCCATGCATGTGTCAATATGATAAGGACTAAACTTTAGAGGAGGAACTAAACATGGTGAACCAACCGCAGTAGCTGAACTCTGAAGTCTGAACTTTGGGGTCTCTATTCTGAAGGACTAAACTTTACAGTGTCTCTATTCTGTTGCAATTCGTGCAAATTTTGGTGTGTGTGTGTGTGCAGTGGTCAAAGAATTATAAACTCTGGACAAATTTGGTTATTGAGCTACAAATTCGTGCACGATCATCTTACTTGCTTGCTACATCAAAATCATCTCTGCGGTGATTATCTGTATATAAGCCTTGTTTGTTTGTGCTTATTTGGCTGATACGCTATGGTTGAAAGTATTGTTGATTGATTTGGTATGAGAGAAAAATATTATTTGTTGACTAAAAAAGTACGATTTATAAGCTAAATAAGCATAAACGGACAGGACGCATGTCCATGTTTTCTTACCGAACTAGATGACCTGTCTGGTCGGTCCAATCTGGGATATACGCGAGGCGAAGGTAAGGGTAGAAACAAAAAGCTTCTGGATTTTGCTAAGCCTTTAGTTCCAAAATTGAAAGAAAATAATTAGCACTACTGCTAACCCTATTCGCTTGAACTATTTCAGCAGTATTTTTTAGCGAACGAACAATATTTTTTTCTTATAATAAATCAGCATAAGCCAAATTTCAGCAAAAAAGTCCATGATCAGTTTATCCCCTAATCTTTGTTTTAGGAAATTATAGTATATATTTGTGGCCTCCTCATTACAGAAGAGTTGTTCCCTAATCCCCGTACGTGTAATTATGTGCTATCATGATTAGCATCCAACAAAAGCCACAACAGAGCTTTATCTGTGGAAGTGTGGATAACAGAACAGCTTTGTCCAGCTACTTGATTGGCCTCCTGTTTTTATTTTTAACTTTTGCGCTCATCGCTTTTGGCTGTGTTTATGTACGTGGCATCGATCCTTGCTTATCTGTTCGGCAAAAATTGGATTATCTCGCTTTTGGCTAATCTGCAGGAAAACAAGTAGCCATCATGCAACGAGCTGAGAACGAGAGAGAATGGTTTGGAAGCAAGAGAGACTTCGTCAATTAGTTTAAGCAATGAGACAGTGGAAAGGCAGCTTGATCTTATCTTAATTTTTTTCCGAACACAGTACATACGTATTCGTATACCCACCCTTATAATTTATAAAAAAACACACACACACACACACTCTATTTGTGTAAGTCTACTCTAGTGCTAAATTCCATTGCATTGTTTCCTAGAGTAACTTACAGGTGATGAAATGAAACAAGACTCACAATGCATAGTTTTATTTCACGGTTTCATAAGTTCACGCATTTAAATATTGAATGGTATTATGAAATGAAATGCTTTTAGTGGAGTTTCACTGAGTTTCCAACGTGTGGGAGCAAAACAAAGTGCTCCTAGTGGAGTTTCAGTTTGCTTTGTGCGGTGGGTTTCATCTGTTCATCTCTCTTTCCTCTTAATTCCTACGCCACGTCATCATTTTTATTGATGCGTCACCTCGATGAATATGAATGAAACTCCCATTGGGCTGGCCTAAGCATCTTCTAAAAAGAACCGAAAGATCTCGAGATTGAATCGGTTACCGCAATTTATTTTATTACTAATTTGTATAATCTCTTTTTTATGGAACTGAATTTCTAGCTTTTACCGGTGAATTAAGTGAAGAAGATAGTGAGAAACCGTAGAGTGAAAGACCCGTCCACTAAAGAGAAAGATTGTGGCCTAGACAATGCGCACGAGCCCGTCCACGGAAACTCTCAGGCCGAGCCCGTATGTATGCTGGGCTGAAGGTCCATAAAAGGCCTAACTACGCCATGCCCTCAAAGCCCAACCAGCCCAGTTCTAGGCTTTTGGTTGGGGAAACCGTGGGCTCTCGCCCACCGCTCGCGAGTCCGCTGGGACGGAGCGGTGCGTTGCGCCTCCACGCCGCCGCGCACTCCTCTCCCCCGCTCTTGTCCCCTCCTCGCTTCGCCGCCCACCACGCCCATGGCCGCCGCAGCCGCCCCCGCACCCTAGGCTCTCGCCCCGGGATCGAGCGAGGCCAGATGCTCTCCCTGGGCGCCCTCCGCAAGCTCTGCGCAGCCTTCGACGCCGTCGCGCTCACCATCATCGCCGCGGGGCTCTCGCGCCCGCCCTCGGGCCGCCACCCCTTCTCCTCCGCGCACGCGCACTCCCCGCACCCCGTCGACTTCCCCACCATCGCCGCCTGCCGCGCCACGGTCTCCGCCTCGAAGGGTGACCGCCGCCGCCGCCCCCCCGTCGTCGGCCAGCCCTCCTCCTCCCCGTCCCCCGCAGCCGCCGCAGCCGAGGAGAAGGCGGAGGAGGAGGAGGAGGAGCGGCCGGTGCTGGTCAGGATCAAGCACGAGCGGGACCCGGAGCGGCTGTACCAGATGTTCAGGGCCAATGCGCACAACCGCCTCCTGGTGGAGAACCGCTTCGCGTTCGAGGACGCGGTGGCGCGCCTGGCGGGTGCTCGGCGGAATGACCTCGTCGAGGAGATCCTCGAGCAGCACAAGGCGCTGCCCCAGGGGAGGCGGGAAGGCTTTGTGGTCAGGATCATCGGCCTGTACGGGAAGGCCGGGATGCCGGGCCACGCGCTGCATACTTTCCAGGAGATGGGGATGTATGGGTGCCCGCGCACCGCCAAGTCACTCAACGCCACCATGAAGGTGCTGCTGCGGGCACGGATGTTTGATGAGGCTCTGTGGCTGTTCGAGGAGGGGCCAGAGAAGTATGACGTCGAGCTGGACGACATCTCGTGTAACACGGTGGTGAAGATGTACTGCAACATGGGGGACTTGCGTGCTGCGTACCGGGTTATGCAGGGGATGGAGGGGGCTGGTGTGCGACCGGATGTCGTCACGTACACGACACTCATGGCTGCCTTCTATAAGTGTGGCCGGCGCGAGGTTGGGGATGGTTTGTGGAACCTCATGAGGCTGAGAGGTTGTGAGCCGACACTTGCTACCTACAATGTGAGGATCCAGTTCCTGATTAACAGGGGAAGGGGGTGGCATGCTAATGAGTTGGTGCGGAAAATGTATGCAGCGGGGATCAAACCAGATGAGATCACATACAATCTAATTATCAAGGGTTTCTTCATGATGGGTGAGCATGAGATGGCCAAGACAGTCTTTGGCGCGATGCATGGGAGGGGATGCAAGCCAAACAGTAAGGTTTACCAGACAATGGTCCATTACCTCTGTGAGAGAAGGGACTTTGATTTGGCATTCAGGTTCTGTAAGGATAGCATGGAGAAAAATTGGTTTCCGAGTGTTGATACTATTAACCAACTGTTGAAAGGTCTCATGGCTATCTCAAAGGATAGGAATGCGAGAGAGATAATGAAGTTGGTTACTGGGAGAAAACCTTCGTATTCAGATGGTGAAATGAAGGTCTTCAAAGACATATTATCTCATAGGAAGACTGGAAGATAAGTTGATGTCTGGATAGGAAATTTTGCTGTAAATCCACCACTTGTAACTGTAAGGCTGTTGTTGGCATTCTTTTGTCACTTTGTTTTCATAGTCAAGTTGAAATGAGGTTGATCGAAGGGTTTCGAATATTGAACCATCCTGTTGGGCTCCTCAGATAACAATTTTTCAGCTCCTTAAAGAAGTTAGTATAAGTTACAGAAATTCCTTTACCTCTAGCAGATGTATCATCATGGATGACAAGTGCTTTAAGAGCTGAAGGTTCTGTTTTATACTTTTCATAGCTAATGTTTAGGAATTTTATAAAAATGTTGTGATCATAATAATTCAATATAACTACATAAGAATGTGTTGTTGGAGCATTCATCAGGAAAACATATGAGCGTGGCAGGAAGAAGGAATCAGTGGTGTCCACAAGTGTTTAGGATAGAGTTTGTTCAGGAGTTGTATCAGTTCAGTCATGGTTTGTTCAATTAAGTTAGAGTCCAGACTTTGTTTTATACTTTTAGTTGGAGAAAAATAAGAGTTTGTTATTTAGCTGCACCTACTTAACATGAGGCGTTCCAGTTGTAATCAAGAAGAAACAAACTTGATTCCATCTCAAGAGTATGCTCAGAGCCCCTTATGAGGGCGAGTACACCATCTTCATCTTTGAGATCAGTGTTGATAAAGTAATGAGGTATTCCGTGCACTTTACAAAACTATGTTTGGGAAAATCTGATCTTATTATTATTTTTTATTTTCCATTATGCCGTCTCACCAAGATAGAATTGTCTACTTGTTAAGAACAAGAAATATTGTAATTGTGCCTCAAAGTTTCTCTACCCTAAGATTGATGATTCTTTTGACATTGGTGAAAAGGCTAAAGGCATAGGAAACAAACCAAAACAAAATCAATTGGATTTATTTCCATTTTTGTAGGAGCCATATGATAGTTACACAGCCTTTCAAATCTATGCTGCATGTTTCCTGTTAAAAATTTTAAGTTCCTTGACAACAATGTTCAAATTTGTGACTGATCAATAACAGTTTTCGGTTACCAGAGTTACTACTTACTATTCATCAGTCATCACTGAATGACTAAAAAGTAACTAACATTGCATGCTACTTGATGCATACAACTCTATGATGCATCAGTTCAGATTATTATTTAATAATGTGCATTGCTAAAAGTAAAGCAAACTAATGTGACTAGGATAATTTATTATGTCTTAGATCTGTGAAAAATTGCACCTAGGTTATGCGATATGATTGAAACATTGTGATTCTTAACATGATTGAAACGGTGGACATGACCTTTACAATTATGCATTACTCTTTGATTATCTTTGTTGGTTACAATATGACATAGCACTTATCATTCGGTCATCATTAATTTTAAATCTACACTGTACATTTTATCATATTTTTGCAAATATGGGGGCAGCTCTTTAACCCCCCCCTCCACCTGTTGATAACCATGTAGCTTTAATTTGTAGTGTCTGCTACATTATTTTTGGAAAATATTGTTAGAAGGTTTCACATGAGTAATCTCAGAGAGAATCCTGTATTCCACTGAAAAATGTGAAGTATTAGTGAATAACTGAAAGTAAAAAAAAACTCAAATAAACCTAGGGTATCTATATGAAACCCTAGTTTTAAAACATTACAATAGTGCTTGTCTTAAAATCCTAGATGTTTTTCACTGTTTTCTTGAAACAAATTGAGATACATGGATCCTAGAAACATGGGAATTGGGAAGGGACTTTGATTTGGCATTCAGGTTGTGCAAGGATAGCATGGAGAAGAACTGGTTTCCCAGTGTTGAAAGGCCTCATGGTGATCTCTAGGAATGCAAGAGAGATAATGAAGTTGGTTTCTGGGAGAAAACCTTCGTATTCAGATGATGAAAATGATGGTCTTCAAATACACCACATGTGACTGTCATTCCTTTATCATTTTATTTCAAAGTCAAGTTAATCGTGGTCGATGAAGGGTTTTTAAGTACTGTTTTAATCATCTTTTGGGTTCCTGAGATAGCAATTGTTCAATTGCTTAACATATTATAAGTTATTGGTCAATCTGTACCTGCAATCGAAATATTGTGGATTACAAAGACTTCAAAAGCTGGATAATCTTGTATATTGAAGACGATGTTTAAGAATATTGCTGCTGCTGAATTTTCATGAAGTAACGAGCATTTCACGCTGTTTTTTGCGATCTTATTATCTCTTTTCCCTTTTAGTTCTGCAAACTCAGCGATATAGAGTTTATCTAGGATTGATGATTCTTTTGATACCAGTAAGAAGGCACATGAGACAGTCGTTTGAATGATTTTTTTGAAAGCTTTTATGATAGTTACATTAAGTTTTCAAATACTTTTATGTTAGCAGCAGAATTCAGAACTAATGTATTCCCGAGGCATGAGAAAAGAAAAATGGTGTAATTGATACTTTGAGGAAATTGTGGTATTTCATAACCTCATTTCTCAGCAAATTTGGCCATATTTACACACACTGCTCAGAAAACTTTGATACTCTTCCTTGTTCATCTGATCATCTCTATCTGCAACAGAACTTTGACTGCTAGTGTAAAGTACAATAGTACATGTTTTGGGTTTATTCATGATGGGTGAGCATGAGATGGCCAAGGTAGTTTCTGGGATGCATGGGAGTGGGAGGGGACACAAGCTGGAGAATGATGTGAAGGGACTTTGGTTTTGCTTTCAGATTGTGCAAGACTGCAAGGACAGCATAGAGAACAGGAGAACACTTTTTTTTTCAAGTGTAGTTACTATTAACTAACCGTTAAAAGGTTTCACAGAGATTTGAAAAGAACATGAATTTGAGGAGGTAATGAAGTTAGTTACCGGGAGAAACCTTCATATTGATAGGGAAGATGATGAAATGGAGGTCTTCAAGGGCATGTTTCATGGGGTTACTGGAAGATGCGTTGACAGCTTGATAGGGAAGTTCTGATGTAAGTTCCAACATATGTAGTGTAAAGCTGTTGTGGATATTCTTTTGTTTTCTGCTGCCAAGTTTAAATAAACAAGATTGAGGGGGTTCTTGAATACTGTCTTGATAATCTTTTTGGACTCCTCAAATACCAATTGTTCATCTGCTTAACAGATGCTACTATAAGGTACAATTCTACATGATACCTTTCCGTGTAGCAAAAATTGATCACAGAGACTTTTAGAGCTGAAGAAATACCTGTATCATATGGGCTATTTTTAAAAAAAATCTATTGAACAGATTTTTTGTGTTAAAAAGAAATAAACATAAGAACGCTTCAAAACATAGCAGCTGTTGAGTACTGATGAAGTAATGAAGCATTTCGTACGGTATTTCAAACTGTGTTCTGCTAACTTCAGAAAACATAATAAGGGCAGGGCGCGTTTAGATGCAAAATTTTTTGGGTTTTGGCTACTGCAGCACTTTCGTTTGTATTTGACAATTAGTGTCTAATTATGGACTAATTAGGTTCGAAAGTTTCGTCTCGCGATTTCTCACCCAACTGTGCAATTAGTTTTTTTTTCGTCTACATTTAGTACTCCATGCATATGCCGCAAGATTCGATGTGATGAGTACTGCGTAAAACTTTTTGGAAACTAAACAGACGAACTTTTATTTGTCAGTAAGTTTTTTCTGTACCAAACGCGCATCCTTTCTCTATCAAAGTACCAAGTACCAAACCCATCTTATATATCTACCACATGATGGGTCAAAAACTTAGCCCGGCTAGAATTGAAAGAATTTAAATTCTAAAAGGCGCGCGGATTGGACGTTATGTCAAATATAAGGAACAATTCCTTATACGCTACCGAAACCCTTGATAAACCACCGTCGGTGACTGTAGAAGGGGGCCCACATGTCATAGACGCAGTTTTCTCCTAGACCAGACATCCAAACACCGTGCTCGTGTGGTCCCTGGGTGTCAGCGGCATATCCTCCCGTAGTCCCGTTCCTCCTCCTCCTCCTCCCTGCAAATCTGTGCGCTTCTAAGTCCAGAGTCCACGCTCTCCGCTGCAGGCGGCGGGGCCAGGCTCAGAAGCGAAGGGGATGGAGGACACAGTAGCGGAGAAGAAGCCCCGGACCACCGGCGACGGCTGCAACGGCGAGCCATCTGGCACCGCAGAGAGCGGCGGCGGCGGCGGCGGCGGCCTGGTCGAGAGGCTCCCCGAGGCGCTCCTGGTGGAGGTGCTGGGCCGTCTCGACCTCGACGACGCCTGCTCCGCCGCCGCGTACTGCCGCTCGCTCCACGCCGCCGCCAACGCCGCCCTCTCCGCCATCACCGCCATCGACCTCTCCGTGAGCTTCACCTCCCTCCCTTCCCATCTCACCGCCCGCCAACCGGGTTCCTTTCCCTTCCTCCCTCCGACCCTCCACTAACCAACCCTCTGGGGTTTCGGATCGGTCGCTCGCTCGCCCGCCGCAGTCCTTTGCCCCGTCGAACGCCATCCTAGGCAGGATTCTCGCGGGGAACGGCGCGCTCCGCAGCCTCACCGTCAACTGCAGCCTCCTCGACGACTCCGCCGCCTCCGTCATCGCCAGGAGTAGCCTACGCGAGCTCTCGCTGCTCAAGTGCTCCTTCTCCATGAGCTTCTTTGTGGCTCTTGGTGCGGCATGTTAAGGTGCGGTTCTTCAGCACTGTCTTGTTCATGCCTTAGCGTATATGCACGCGAATGTAAAATTGCTTCAGAAGATTGCGTCTGGAACTATGCACATTCCTGTTTATTCTCGTCATTTGCCAAAATGAAATTGGATTATGCAATTAATGATCTGGAATTTGGGACATTGCTTTAAGTCATAGTGATTGAGAAGTCCAATCATCCTTTAACCCGAATTTGAAAAATTCAGATCGTTGAAGCTGGAGATGGCGGTTGCTCCAGACATTCTATATTCTCGTTATTCTGGATTCGGTACTTGCCTAGCACCTATCTACACGGGATGTGTTTACTTGGAGGTGAGAGATTTTTCTGGTACAATTTACGAATATGATATTCTTCCTCGCTAAAAACATGCCACTTTGTAGCAATATTGCATATTCGAAGATTTGTTTGCTTTCGTTGTCTTTCGATTTCCAAGCATACATAGAATTACATAAGATTAACCGTAGCCTTTGAATAATGTTATGGAGCTTTTAGAAAAGTTCAGTTAATTTGGTTGCTTGCTCTAAGCAGTCTTTTTCAATATTCAATACAGACTCTTTGGGTGAAGTTCCCTCTGCTAGATCCACACTCTGAATATGAGACTGGAACTGGATTGCCTCTCATTCCTAGTAACATCAAGGACCTGTTGCTACAGCCTGTATCTCATTCGAGGGCAACAACAGTCTTCCTGAACACCACATCTCTGAGCAAACACATCACTGACAGTTTGGAATCACTCTCTTTAGTTCTCGACACAATAACGGATGAACTTGTTATGTTGATCACCAGTAATGTCCATAAGTTGGTTGAGCTATGCCTGGAAGATGAACCTGTTACCCAACCAAATTTGCCTGAAGATTTGACAAATGTCAAAGCACTTGGCTTATGCCACAACTTGAGACATTTGTCTCTGACACGTCGTTGCTGTGACTTCAGACGGGTAAACGACTTTGGGATACTGATGCTCGCTGACGGATGCAAGCAACTCAGAACCATTAGATTTGGTGGGTTCTCTAAAGTAAGTGATGCAGGGTATGCAGCCCTTCTCCACTCTGGGAAGGACCTGAAGAAGTTTGAGGTCAGCAACGGCTCGTGCTTGTCAGACTTGGCATGCCTAGATCTTGATAAGGCAGCTCCAAACATTTCAGAAGTGAGGTTGCTTAACTGTGCTCTCCTAACTAGTGATACCGCCATATCTCTAGCACCCTGCACTAACTTGAAGGTTCTCGATCTCTCGGGTTGCAAGAGCATTGCAGACTCTGGCTTGGTTTCCATCTCACGGCTCCCCAACCTAACTCTACTGGATCTTGCTGGAGCTGACATTACTGATGCGGGTTTATCAGCACTCGGTAATGGGAGGTGCCTGATATCTTCTTTGTGCTTGAGAGGGTGCAGAAGGATCGGCAGTAATGGAATAGCTTCACTGTTGTGCGGGACTGGCACCATCAACAAAACATTAGTTTCGCTCTTTTAACCCCCCCTCCACCTGTTGATAACCATGTAGCTTTAATTTGTAGTGTCTGCTACATTATTTTTGGAAAATATTGTTAGAAGGTTTCACATGAGTAATCTCAGAGAGAATCCTGTATTCCACTGAAAAATGTGAAGTATTAGTGAATAACTGAAAGTAAAAAAAAACTCAAATAAACCTAGGGTATCTATATGAAACCCTAGTTTTAAAACATTACAATAGTGCTTGTCTTAAAATCCTAGATGTTTTTCACTGTTTTCTTGAAACAAATTGAGATACATGGATCCTAGAAACATGGGAATTGGGAAGGGACTTTGATTTGGCATTCAGGTTGTGCAAGGATAGCATGGAGAAGAACTGGTTTCCCAGTGTTGAAAGGCCTCATGGTGATCTCTAGGAATGCAAGAGAGATAATGAAGTTGGTTTCTGGGAGAAAACCTTCGTATTCAGATGATGAAAATGATGGTCTTCAAATACACCACATGTGACTGTCATTCCTTTATCATTTTATTTCAAAGTCAAGTTAATCGTGGTCGATGAAGGGTTTTTAAGTACTGTTTTAATCATCTTTTGGGTTCCTGAGATAGCAATTGTTCAATTGCTTAACATATTATAAGTTATTGGTCAATCTGTACCTGCAATCGAAATATTGTGGATTACAAAGACTTCAAAAGCTGGATAATCTTGTATATTGAAGACGATGTTTAAGAATATTGCTGCTGCTGAATTTTCATGAAGTAACGAGCATTTCACGCTGTTTTTATGATCTTATTATCTCTTTTCCTTTTAGTTCTGCAAACTCAGCGATATAGAGTTTATCTAGGATTGATGATTCTTTTGATACCAGTAAGAAGGCACATGAGACAGTCGTTTGAATGATTTTTTGAAAGCTTTTATGATAGTTACATTAAGTTTTCAAATACTTTTATGTTAGCAGCAGAATTCAGAACTAATGTATTCCCGAGGCATGAGAAAAGAAAAATGGTGTAATTGATACTTTGAGGAAATTGTGGTATTTCATAACCTCATTTCTCAGCAAATTTGGCCATATTTACACACACTGCTCAGAAAACTTTGATACTCTTCCTTGTTCATCTGATCATCTCTATCTGCAACAGAACTTTGACTGCTAGTGTAAAGTACAATAGTACATGTTTTGGGTTTATTCATGATGGGTGAGCATGAGATGGCCAAGGTAGTTTCTGGGATGCATGGGAGTGGGAGGGACACAAGCTGGAGAATGATGAAGGGACTTTGGTTTTGCTTTCAGATTGTGCAAGACTGCAAGGACAGCATAGAGAACAGGAGAACACTTTTTTTTTTTCAAGTGTAGTTACTATTAACTAACCGTTAAAAGGTTTCACAGAGATTTGAAAAGAACATGAATTTGAGGAGGTAATGAAGTTAGTTACCGGGAGAAACCTTCATATTGATAGGGAAGATGATGAAATGGAGGTCTTCAAGGGCATGTTTCATGGGGTTACTGGAAGATGCGTTGACAGCTTGATAGGGAAGTTCTGATGTAAGTTCCAACATATGTAGTGTAAAGCTGTTGTGGATATTCTTTTGTTTTCTGCTGCCAAGTTTAAATAAACAAGATTGAGGGGGTTCTTGAATACTGTCTTGATAATCTTTTTGGACTCCTCAAATACCAATTGTTCATCTGCTTAACAGATGCTACTATAAGGTACAATTCTACATGATACCTTTCCGTGTAGCAAAAATTGATCACAGAGACTTTTAGAGCTGAAGAAATACCTGTATCATATGGGCTATTTTTAAAAAAAATCTATTGAACAGATTTTTTGTGTTAAAAAGAAATAAACATAAGAACGCTTCAAAACATAGCAGCTGTTGAGTACTGATGAAGTAATGAAGCATTTCGTACGGTATTTCAAACTGTGTTCTGCTAACTTCAGAAAACATAATAAGGGCAGGGCGCGTTTAGATGCAAAATTTTTTGGGTTTTGGCTACTGCAGCACTTTCGTTTGTATTTGACAATTAGTGTCTAATTATGGACTAATTAGGTTCGAAAGTTTCGTCTCGCGATTTCTCACCCAACTGTGCAATTAGTTTTTTTTTCGTCTACATTTAGTACTCCATGCATATGCCGCAAGATTCGATGTGATGAGTACTGCGTAAAACTTTTTGGAAACTAAACAGACGAACTTTTATTTGTCAGTAAGTTTTTTCTGTACCAAACGCGCATCCTTTCTCTATCAAAGTACCAAGTACCAAACCCATCTTATATATCTACCACATGATGGGTCAAAAACTTAGCCCGGCTAGAATTGAAAGAATTTAAATTCTAAAAGGCGCGCGGATTGGACGTTATGTCAAATATAAGGAACAATTCCTTATACGCTACCGAAACCCTTGATAAACCACCGTCGGTGACTGTAGAAGGGGCCCACATGTCATAGACGCAGTTTTCTCCTAGACCAGACATCCAAACACCGTGCTCGTGTGGTCCCTGGGTGTCAGCGGCATATCCTCCCGTAGTCCCGTTCCTCCTCCTCCTCCTCCCTGCAAATCTGTGCGCTTCTAAGTCCAGAGTCCACGCTCTCCGCTGCAGGCGGCGGGGCCAGGCTCAGAAGCGAAGGGGATGGAGGACACAGTAGCGGAGAAGAAGCCCCGGACCACCGGCGACGGCTGCAACGGCGAGCCATCTGGCACCGCAGAGAGCGGCGGCGGCGGCGGCGGCGGCCTGGTCGAGAGGCTCCCCGAGGCGCTCCTGGTGGAGGTGCTGGGCCGTCTCGACCTCGACGACGCCTGCTCCGCCGCCGCGTACTGCCGCTCGCTCCACGCCGCCGCCAACGCCGCCCTCTCCGCCATCACCGCCATCGACCTCTCCGTGAGCTTCACCCTCCCTCCCTTCCCATCTCACCGCCCGCCAACCGGGTTCCTTTCCTTCCTCCCTCCGACCCTCCACTAACCAACCCTCTGGGGTTTCGGATCGGTCGCTCGCTCGCCCGCCGCAGTCCTTTGCCCCGTCGAACGCCATCCTAGGCAGGATTCTCGCGGGGAACGGCGCGCTCCGCAGCCTCACCGTCAACTGCAGCCTCCTCGACGACTCCGCCGCCTCCGTCATCGCCAGGAGTAGCCTACGCGAGCTCTCGCTGCTCAAGTGCTCCTTCTCCATGAGCTTCTTTGTGGCTCTTGGTGCGGCATGTTAAGGTGCGGTTCTTCAGCACTGTCTTGTTCATGCCTTAGCGTATATGCACGCGAATGTAAAATTGCTTCAGAAGATTGCGTCTGGAACTATGCACATTCCTGTTTATTCTCGTCATTTGCCAAAATGAAATTGGATTATGCAATTAATGATCTGGAATTTGGGACATTGCTTTAAGTCATAGTGATTGAGAAGTCCAATCATCCTTTAACCCGAATTTGAAAAATTCAGATCGTTGAAGCTGGAGATGGCGGTTGCTCCAGACATTCTATATTCTCGTTATTCTGGATTCGGTACTTGCCTAGCACCTATCTACACGGGATGTGTTTACTTGGAGGTGAGAGATTTTTCTGGTACAATTTACTGAATATGATATTCTTCCTCGCTAAAAACATGCCACTTTGTAGCAATATTGCATATTCGAAGATTTGTTTGCTTTCGTTGTCTTTCGATTTCCAAGCATACATAGAATTACATAAGATTAACCGTAGCCTTTGAATAATGTTATGGAGCTTTTAGAAAAAGTTCAGTTAATTTGGTTGCTTGCTCTAAGCAGTCTTTTTTCAATATTCAATACAGACTCTTTGGGTGAAGTTCCCTCTGCTAGATCCACACTCTGAATATGAGACTGGAACTGGATTGCCTCTCATTCCTAGTAACATCAAGGACCTGTTGCTACAGCCTGTATCTCATTCGAGGGCAACAACAGTCTTCCTGAACACCACATCTCTGAGCAAACACATCACTGACAGTTTGGAATCACTCTCTTTAGTTCTCGACACAATAACGGATGAACTTGTTATGTTGATCACCAGTAATGTCCATAAGTTGGTTGAGCTATGCCCGGAAGATGAACCTGTTACCCAACCAAATTTGCCTGAAGATTTGACAAATGTCAAAGCACTTGGCTTATGCCACAACTTGAGACATTTGTCTCGACACGTCGTTGTTGTGACTTCAGACGGTAAACGACTTTTGGGATACTGATGCTCGCTGACGGATGCAAGCAACTCAGAACCATTAGATTTGGTGGGTTCTCTAAAGTAAGTGATGCAGGGTATGCAGCCCTTCTCCACTCTGGGAAGGACCTGAAGAAGTTTGAGGTCAGCAACGGCTCGTGCTTGTCAGACTTGGCATGCCTAGATCTTGATAAGGCAGCTCCAAACATTTCAGAAGTGAGGTTGCTTAACTGTGCTCTCCTAACTAGTGATACCGCCATATCTCTAGCACCCTGCACTAACTTGAAGGTTCTCGATCTCTCGGGTTGCAAGAGCATTGCAGACTCTGGCTTGGTTTCCATCTCACGGCTCCCCAACCTAACTCTACTGGATCTTGCTGGAGCTGACATTACTGATGCGGGTTTATCAGCACTCGGTAATGGGAGGTGCCTGATATCTTCTTTTTGTGCTTGAGAGGGTGCAGAAGGATCGGCAGTAATGGAATAGCTTCACTGTTAAAGGGACTGGCACCATCAACAAAACATTAGTTTCGCTCTTTTAACCCCCTCCACCTGTTGATAACCATGTAGCTTTAATTTGTAGTGTCTGCTACATTATTTTTGGAAAATATTGTTAGAAGGTTTCACATGAGTAATCTCAGAGAGAATCCTGTATTCCACTGAAAAATGTGAAGTATTAGTGAATAACTGAAAGTAAAAAAAAACTCAAATAAACCTAGGGTATCTATATGAAACCCTAGTTTTAAAAAACATTACAATAGTGCTTGTCTTAAAATCCTAGATGTTTTTCACTGTTTTCTTGAAACAAATTGAGATACATGGATCCTAGAAACATGGGAATTGGGAAGGGACTTTGATTTGGCATTCAGGTTGTGCAAGGATAGCATGGAGAAGAACTGGTTTCCCAGTGTTGAAAGGCCTCATGGTGATCTCTAGGAATGCAAGAGAGATAATGAAGTTGGTTTCTGGGAGAAAACCTTCGTATTCAGATGATGAAAATGATGGTCTTCAAATACACCACATGTGACTGTCATTCCTTTATCATTTTATTTCAAAGTCAAGTTAATCGTGGTCGATGAAGGGTTTTTAAGTACTGTTTTAATCATCTTTTGGGTTCCTGAGATAGCAATTGTTCAATTGCTTAACATATTATAAGTTATTGGTCAATCTGTACCTGCAATCGAAATATTGTGGATTACAAAGACTTCAAAAGCTGGATAATCTTGTATATTGAAGACGATGTTTAAGAATATTGCTGCTGCTGAATTTTCATGAAGTAACGAGCATTTCACGCTGTTTTTTGCGATCTTATTATCTCTTTTCCCTTTTAGTTCTGCAAACTCAGCGATATAGAGTTTATCTAGGATTGATGATTCTTTTGATACCAGTAAGAAGGCACATGAGACAGTCGTTTGAATGATTTTTTTGAAAGCTTTTATGATAGTTACATTAAGTTTTCAAATACTTTTATGTTAGCAGCAGAATTCAGAACTAATGTATTCCCGAGGCATGAGAAAAGAAAAATGGTGTAATTGATACTTTGAGGAAATTGTGGTATTTCATAACCTCATTTCTCAGCAAATTTGGCCATATTTACACACACTGCTCAGAAAACTTTGATACTCTTCCTTGTTCATCTGATCATCTCTATCTGCAACAGAACTTTGACTGCTAGTGTAAAGTACAATAGTACATGTTTTGGGTTTATTCATGATGGGTGAGCATGAGATGGCCAAGGTAGTTTCTGGGATGCATGGGAGTGGGAGGGGACACAAGCTGGAGAATGATGTGAAGGGACTTTGGTTTTGCTTTCAGATTGTGCAAGACTGCAAGGACAGCATAGAGAACAGGAGAACTTTTTTTTTTTCAAGTGTAGTTACTATTAACTAACCGTTAAAAGGTTTCACAGAGATTTGAAAAGAACATGAATTTGAGGAGGTAATGAAGTTAGTTACCGGGAGAAACCTTCATATTGATAGGGAAGATGATGAAATGGAGGTCTTCAAGGGCATGTTTCATGGGGTTACTGGAAGATGCGTTGACAGCTTGATAGGGAAGTTCTGATGTAAGTTCCAACATATGTAGTGTAAAGCTGTTGTGGATATTCTTTTGTTTTCTGCTGCCAAGTTTAAATAAACAAGATTGAGGGGGTTCTTGAATACTGTCTTGATAATCTTTTTGGACTCCTCAAATACCAATTGTTCATCTGCTTAACAGATGCTACTATAAGGTACAATTCTACATGATACCTTTCCGTGTAGCAAAAATTGATCACAGAGACTTTTAGAGCTGAAGAAATACCTGTATCATATGGGCTATTTTTAAAAAAAATCTATTGAACAGATTTTTGTGTTAAAAGAAATAAACATAAGAACGCTTCAAAACATAGCAGCTGTTGAGTACTGATGAAGTAATGAAGCATTTCGTACGGTATTTCAAACTGTGTTCTGCTAACTTCAGAAAACATAATAAGGGCAGGGCGCGTTTAGATGCAAATTTTTTGGGTTTTGGCTACTGCAGCACTTTCGTTTGTATTTGACAATTAGTGTCTAATTATGGACTAATTAGGTTCGAAAGTTTTAATCTCGCGATTTCTCACCCAACTGCAATTAGTTTTTTTTTCGTCTACATTTAGTACTCCATGCATATGCCGCAAGATTCGATGTGATGAGTATGCGTAAAACTTTTGGAAACTAAAGCAGACGAACTTTTATTTGTCAGTAAGTTTTTTTCTGTACCAAACGCGCATCCTTTCTCTATCAAAGTACCAAGTACCAAACCCATCTTATATATCTACCACATGATGGGTCAAAAACTTAGCCCGGCTAGAATTGAAAGAATTTAAATTCTAAAAGGCGCGCGGATTGGACGTTATGTCAAATATAAGGAACAATTCCTTATACGCTACCGAAACCCTTGATAAACCACCGTCGGTGACTGTAGAAGGGGCCCACATGTCATAGACGCAGTTTTCTCCTAGACCAGACATCCAAACACCGTGCTCGTGTGGTCCCTGGGTGTCAGCGGCATATCCTCCCGTAGTCCCGTTCCTCCTCCTCCTCCTCCCTGCAAATCTGTGCGCTTCTAAGTCCAGAGTCCACGCTCTCCGCTGCAGGCGGCGGGGCCAGGCTCAGAAGCGAAGGGGATGGAGGACACAGTAGCGGAGAAGAAGCCCCGGACCACCGGCGACGGCTGCAACGGCGAGCCATCTGGCACCGCAGAGAGCGGCGGCGGCGGCGGCGGCGGCCTGGTCGAGAGGCTCCCCGAGGCGCTCCTGGTGGAGGTGCTGGGCCGTCTCGACCTCGACGACGCCTGCTCCGCCGCCGCGTACTGCCGCTCGCTCCACGCCGCCGCCAACGCCGCCCTCTCCGCCATCACCGCCATCGACCTCTCCGTGAGCTTCACCCTCCCCTCCCCTTCCCATCTCACCGCCCGCCAACCGGGTTCCTTTCCCTTCCTCCCTCCGACCCTCCACTAACCAACCCTCTGGGGTTTCGGATCGGTCGCTCGCTCGCCCGCCGCAGTCCTTTGCCCCGTCGAACGCCATCCTAGGCAGGATTCTCGCGGGGAACGGCGCGCTCCGCAGCCTCACCGTCAACTGCAGCCTCCTCGACGACTCCGCCGCCTCCGTCATCGCCAGGAGTAGCCTACGCGAGCTCTCGCTGCTCAAGTGCTCCTTCTCCATGAGCTTCTTTGTGGCTCTTGGTGCGGCATGTTAAGGTGCGGTTCTTCAGCACTGTCTTGTTCATGCCTTAGCGTATATGCACGCGAATGTAAAATTGCTTCAGAAGATTGCGTCTGGAACTATGCACATTCCTGTTTATTCTCGTCATTTGCCAAAATGAAATTGGATTATGCAATTAATGATCTGGAATTTGGGACATTGCTTTAAGTCATAGTGATTGAGAAGTCCAATCATCCTTTAACCCGAATTTGAAAAATTCAGATCGTTGAAGCTGGAGATGGCGGTTGCTCCAGACATTCTATATTCTCGTTATTCTGGATTCGGTACTTGCCTAGCACCTATCTACACGGGATGTGTTTACTTGGAGGTGAGAGATTTTTCTGGTACAATTTACGAATATGATATTCTTCCTCGCTAAAAACATGCCACTTTGTAGCAATATTGCATATTCGAAGATTTGTTTGCTTTCGTTGTCTTTCGATTTCCAAGCATACATAGAATTACATAAGATTAACCGTAGCCTTTGAATAATGTTATGGAGCTTTTAGAAAAAGTTCAGTTAATTTGGTTGCTTGCTCTAAGCAGTCTTTTTTCAATATTCAATACAGACTCTTTGGGTGAAGTTCCCTCTGCTAGATCCACACTCTGAATATGAGACTGGAACTGGATTGCCTCTCATTCCTAGTAACATCAAGGACCTGTTGCTACAGCCTGTATCTCATTCGAGGGCAACAACAGTCTTCCTGAACACCACATCTCTGAGCAAACACATCACTGACAGTTTGGAATCACTCTCTTTAGTTCTCGACACAATAACGGATGAACTTGTTATGTTGATCACCAGTAATGTCCATAAGTTGGTTGAGCTATGCCTGGAAGATGAACCTGTTACCCAACCAAATTTGCCTGAAGATTTGACAAATGTCAAAGCACTTGGCTTATGCCACAACTTGAGACATTTGTCTCTGACACGTCGTTGCTGTGACTTCAGACGGGTAAACGACTTTGGGATACTGATGCTCGCTGACGGATGCAAGCAACTCAGAACCATTAGATTTGGTGGGTTCTCTAAAGTAAGTGATGCAGGGTATGCAGCCCTTCTCCACTCTGGGAAGGACCTGAAGAAGTTTGAGGTCAGCAACGGCTCGTGCTTGTCAGACTTGGCATGCCTAGATCTTGATAAGGCAGCTCCAAACATTTCAGAAGTGAGGTTGCTTAACTGTGCTCTCCTAACTAGTGATACCGCCATATCTCTAGCACCCTGCACTAACTTGAAGGTTCTCGATCTCTCGGGTTGCAAGAGCATTGCAGACTCTGGCTTGGTTTCCATCTCACGGCTCCCCAACCTAACTCTACTGGATCTTGCTGGAGCTGACATTACTGATGCGGGTTTATCAGCACTCGGTAATGGGAGGTGCCTGATATCTTCTTTGTGCTTGAGAGGGTGCAGAAGGATCGGCAGTAATGGAATAGCTTCACTGTTGTGCGGGACTGGCACCATCAACAAAACATTAGTTTCGCTTGATATCGGGAATGTACCAAGAATATCATGTCGGGCTGTGACAGTGATTGCCAGGAACTGTGAGCAGATAAGCAGCCTTGTCTGCGGAACTGCCTCCTCATAACTGATTCGTCTCTCGAAGTGCTAGGTTCTATGGGATGCGACTCCAGTAAATGTTCCCTGAGAATACTTGATCTTGCCTACTGCAGTAAGCTGTCTCGAAACTTCCTGAGACACTTTGAGCCACCAGTGTTCCGAGGGCTGCGGTGGCTTGGCGTCGGTAAGAATGTGGCACAACGTCGTGGCTGCAGCCCGACAGTTGCGGAGGTTCTGGAGCGAAAGCCTGGATTAACCATCTGCTGCAACGCCTGCGACATGTGCTGCAGGAACAAGTGCCATCCAGACATTCGTTTTCTTCAGTAGATGTGCTGCAATGCCTGCGACATCGGCTGCAGGAACAAGTGTCATCGAGCCATTCGTTTTCTACAGTTGATGTGCAGGATTAACCCATCTGTGGCAGCAGACATTCGTTTTCTTCAGTAGATGTGCAGGATTAACCCATCCGTGGCAGCGCCTGTGAGGCTGCGACATGGGTTGCAGTATAAGTGTCAACCCAACATTCGTTTTCTTCAGTATGTGTTGTTATTGCCATTTGAGTTGGTACTGTAGTGCCCTATTTTACTTTTGATTAAACATGTACCATTTGTGCTCCATGGTTCCTTGTGTCAAAGAACTATTCTATGGCACCTTTTCTTTTGGACGATTTCTTAAGGATTCTTTGGTACCTTTTCTTTTCTTATTTTGATGATGATTTATGAAGCAAGCCCTCAGTAGGAAGAGTGGCTGATTACATCACAGCTAATTTCTTGTCTTGTTCTGAATATTCAGATGTATCTCGATCATAACGTTACATCACGCAGCGTAACAAATGATTTCAAGTTTTTTTGACCGTGAGCGTGACGCAAACCAGCATCAATATCTATTTGCCAGTCAAATAGAATAACTAGGGAGAGAAACTTTACAGACCAACTTCAGCACAAGTGGGATTTGATACAGTTCGAGCAAATCATCATTTTTTGCCTAGAAAGTTTGAAGTGACTCGAGAGCTGCCGTATAGCCGATTGCACATAATAGATTGCATGCAAAAAAATGCCTCGGGAACATAAGCTATTTTTTCCAAAAAACCTCCACAGATGAAAGCAGCAGCAGGATCACGGCAGGTAAGCTACATGAAAGCACCTCGGCCTCCTCTCCTGGTAGTCGGTCTCTCGTAGCTTGTGTTGATCTTCTCGACCAACTCGTTCATTGTGCTGCAAATTATAAAGTTGAAATCAACACAAGTGAAATTTCCAACAAAGAACGATATAAGGTATAGAAGAATAAGGAACTTCATCTGTGAAAGAGGTGAGTGCAAACCTTGAACAGTTGGTGAACATTGCCAGGTAAGTCATGAGGAGAGTGTCGTTGTATTCCTGAAAACAATGGATGGCATCATCATTGTATTACACATACATTAACCATGCAACGTTGAGAAAATTACAGAAAAGTGATCTTTACTGGCAACATAGCTGGCAATTCAAATAATGTATTCTTCATATCAAAAGAGAAAGCACTTTGCCTAAGATGAGAAATGAAACTAACATACCATTAAGAAGTCGTCTTGGAATTTCTGTGACTCCATAGCTGGTAGCCTTCTTACGAGGCTTGAGACTTGCCTAAGCAGCGAGTTATCCATTGGAATGTCACCTTCAGTTGAAGAAAAGGCTTTGCAGTTAAATTTCTCAAGTCAAAAAAAGTCCAACAGGGCGATTAACAAGTATATGGGAAATTAAAGTTCCAATAAAGGTTTTTATGTTTAAATAGGAATGGAAGCATGTTTTGGAGAACAAGCACGATAGAGCATCATCTCAGTAGCGAGAGATAAAGCAATGTAGCACTTCATATATGTACGGACCTTTTTGCATGGCAACAAGATACTGATGGATAACACGGACCCTGCTATTGAGCATCTTGATGGCACTGTGTATTCCTGTAAGATGAGCAGCCACTGCACAAAAGCATCGATTAGTACAATTCTGTCCAGAAAAATACCTCAGATAGTATGACTAATAATGTTGAGAAAGCAAAGCCACACGGAAGCCACCCCCCAGGGCTTTGTCTGATGAGAGGTCTTCAAAGTATAATCCTTACACTGAGTTGCTGCTGAGCCACCATCAGAAGGTTTGAGATGGGCAACATGGTCCACAGATATCCTCTCAGCCTCTACAGTCTTTGATCAAGCATACTAATGTTAAAAAAAATCATATATAGCTAGACGCACAAGGGGTAACACTTACCTCAATTGTATAATTTGATCTGACAAAGATGAGCTGAGGACTCCCATCGATGACATGCAACTCTTCAAGTTACAGAAAATAAAGAAGCAATTAGCAGACAAATAGACAGAAAAACAAAGTGAGAGCGTGACAAGAAAACATTGAAAAAACTCTCTGGTTAAGTATACAAGTGGAATAGTTCAGGGGCTATTCACGTTATAGTTGTATACATGGTAGAACCTAATGGCTTATTGTAGTTAATATTGGCACCTGGAAATAAACTTTAGGGATTGCCTGATACAAAATTAAAAAAATTGAGCATTTACATTTTTTACATAAAAAAGGCAATTTGTCAACATGAAAGAAAAAAGTTCAAACTTATTAATACAGCAGCACCAAACTTCATAAATTCATAAATATCCTTTCTTGCTCTGAACCCTGAATTTAAAGAGCAATATGATAACTAGTATGGCAATGCGACTTGGCAATCTAAGACTGATCAAGATTCAGAGTTACATGCGTGCATAACCGAAACCTATGTGCACACAAAATCAAGCCCTAATAGTCAAAAGCACCCCATTCGACTTGCTGAAACTTGGCTGAATTGGCTGAAAAACACTGTTCTGGCTGAATTGTTGTGAGAGAGAAACACTGTTCCGGCTGAAAAAACAAGCTGAATAGTGCGGATTATAAGGTAAGCCGAACGGGGCCTAATCATTGAAGTTGCATAAACAGGTTCAGGTTAGAACCAAACACAGGAGAAACAAGTTGCAATACATTAATGATTCCAAACTTAAATCCATATTGACTTACCACTCTCATAGATAGTCACAGGGAGATCCTTCTGGGAGAGGTTGATTGTAGGATTTAATAGAAGATAAACAGGGCTTTCGTTAACATCCATCAACTGGATAATACAAATAAAAGAAGGTTATGCAGAGTCAAATGAATATATACATCACAGATCAAACAAATGTCTATGCTGGCAGGCAATTCCTCAACTCTCCTCTCAAGCCAAAATCGTATAGCCATCGTTCCATTCAGTCACAAGAACTCAGGTAAAGTTCTATAGAGGTAAGTAATATATGGTTTTGCTGTACAGAAGATGAGCAATTTTTGCATAGAAGAGGGAAATTTAATATTGCGAAAATTAACAAACATCCAAAGCGACTGCTTGTTACTTAATTCTGACTTGAAGTTAGGCTTTGAAAGATGCAACTGCCTTGACATTTTCAGCTGTTAATCTTGCTGCAATATACTAAGTATTTTTAAACGTGAAACTTCAAAATAAACCTTATTAGAAGCATAATGGGTTACATTATTAGGTTATTGGTAGCTATAGTTAGTAACCATCTGCTTCAGCACTAATTACATTTGTACAGTGAGAATTCCCAAATTCCAGAAACATTGGAGCAGTCTCTTCTCTTGTTTTATTTACTAAAGTAATAGGCATGTTCAATAGGTCTAACATGTAGAAATAAGAATCCTAGGTGCCACCTACTGTTAGCAACATCAAGTAAACGAACAGTAAATTATTACAATCTGAAACCGACACATTTTCTCCATAACATGAGCAAACGCCAATGCCCAAGCACAATGTGACATTGTCACACAGGTAACAGATTCAAGCACTTGAAGAAAAGGTTGTAAAAACTCACGGCTTTGTGGATTTGCATGTCGGTGTCGTGCACATCGCTTCCAGTGGAGTACCAACCGAGCACGTAGAAGTCGGGGAACACCTTCTTATCTGCACATCCACAGCCATAACAAAACACTCATCAAACCATCCACGAAACCCTAGCATTCCCTACGATTCCAGGCGTCGTGAAAGGTGAAACCCTAAAAAAAAAAACATATTCGAGTAGGAGCTTACAGAGCTCCTGCTTCTTCTCGAGGAAGGCGCGGTCGAGGGTGCCGGAGACGGGGTCGAGCACGAGCTCGAAGCTGTTGAAGATCTCCACGGTCCGCCCGCGCTGCACCCCGATCACGCACCCGAACACCCTCGGCGGCTGCCCGGCCCCCGCCCCGGACGAGGAGGAGGAGCTGTCCCCGGAGCAGGCGGCCTGGGCCTTGACGCGGGTGTGGTGGTCGGAGACGTTCACGATGACGAGCGGGTGGAGCTTGAAGGTGAACCCGCCGCTGGAGGAGGCGGCGGCGGTCGTGGGTGCGGGCGTGTCTACTGCCGCTGCAGCGTCGGAGGGCGCCGACATCGTCGGAGCCGGGGGCGAGGTGGCGTGGCGTGACCTAGGTAGCGCCGGCGGGGGGTTGCGATTGCGACGGGGACTGGAACGGGCAGGATGCGAGGTGGGGTTGGGGGGGTTTTTGCGCTCTGGGTGGGGCTTGCGTGCGTGCGAGAAAGCCGAATCTTTTATGTCACTCTAAGTAAGATTTTAAAATCTAAACCCTTATCTCAACGCTATTTTATAGGCGTCGAGTTCTTAGGCTCGAAGCAGACGTGACGATGATTTGACAGGCATCTCGGCAACCGTAACTCTGGCACCAAGCTCAGCGCCATAGATCTCGACGCCGAGCTCGGTGCTAGGGTTACTGGCGTCAAGCCTGTCTTACGTATGGAGCCCAATTCTTTCTCTCTTCCTCTCCCTTTCTTTCTCGCACCTCTCTCGCCTCACCCGAGCAGCGTACCGCCGCCGCCAACCGCGCCCTCTTCCACCCCCGGTCGCCCTCACCCGCGCCCGCGCCTCGCCGCGCCCGGCCACCCACGCCGCGCCCCACCCCGTGCCCGTGGCCGCCTTGGCCGCGCCCCGTCGCGCCGGCGCCGTGCCCCGCCGTGCCGTGGTCGCACCGCGCCCGCGGCCGGCCTCGGGCGCGCCCGTCATGCCGGCCTCGCCGCGCGGAGCGCCGGGCATCCCGCGCCCGTCGCACGACACCGTCGGCCCGGCTCGTCGGCCTGACCCACGCCCGTCGTCCGCTACGACTCCGTCGACGTCCACGACTCCGTGTCGGACAGGTAAAAATTATGAATTTACAATGTGCGTACTTAGTTAGCTTTAATTGTAGTGTAGTAGTTTTGGCATTTGTTATTTACTAGTTAACGTGATGACTCAAATAGTTGATTTAGTTAGTGATCTAGTGAAATAGATATGTAGA